TAGAAGTGTTTTTGACCCATATTATCTTGAGTTACTTGTTTTGCTTTGATCTGATCTGATTTGTTTTTGATTTGCTTGTTTCTTTCAATTTAATTTTTAAGTTTAGGTTGTTTTGCAATAATTTCTGTAACCATTATGTTTGTGTGCAGGAAAAGCAGGGACTTTCTGCCCTTTTTACAGTTGACCCTTGTTTGACACTGCAGTGTGAAACCCATTGTCTGCCTTAATGCGAGGGGCCTATGCGATGTGGTTGGAGAGCTTCCTGTTCTTTCAACGAAAAAGCGAGGCAACCGTTGTTTCACACCTGGCCGGGGCAGAGACGTAGGGGGTTAGAATGGAGAAGACAGTGGTTTCTAAGAAAAGTGTTGTCTGCACATGAAAAAAATGTGTGTGCTATCTGTGACGTACTAATCATTTTTGCCTGTACCTGGGTGGAGTTCTGTGACCTAATATAAATACTGAAAATTCCGCATATTAATTCAGATCCTGATTTTTGGTTGGCATTGGCCCTCCGGCTGTAATCGGCTAAGGAGTTCAGATCTCAAATTCGGACTAGGCTGTGTTTTATAGCCTTCCTGGTCACAGGGTAATTTCTCCAAAAAGGTACTTGCAAGGTGATTTGTCTCAATTATTCTTGTGTGAGCTTTCTGTTAAACATATAATAAAAAGCTGATTAAATACGACAAAGACAAATCACTTGTTGGAATCTTTTGTTGAGTCTTTCCCTCAATTATTATATAAATACAATTATTATATAAATATATATACATATTCACTGCGAGCGAGTCAAGTCATCCTAGGTGAGTTACATACAACAAATGCAATGTTTTGATGCAAAGCTAAATTTGGTTAAAGGTTTTGAGGCACTGCTAAGGATAAATTAATATTTGCAATGTTTTGGTATAAAACTGAATCTGGTTAAATTCTTTGAGGCACTGTTAAAAATGTGTTTTGGGCAAAAGTTGTCAGATAGAGTGTAGAGCATTTCATAAGAGTGGTTTCTAAAGCTAAGTGAAGTTGTAAGTGTTCTCCAAGTGGTACTTTAAGAGTTGTTAAAGCTACTATGTATGGTGTTTCCTAAGGTTAAGTATCCTTTTTGAGAGTAGTAAAATATTTTGCTTTGTGTCATTGATGAAATGATAATCTTTGAGTGTAGTAAATGATATTTTTGAACATGCATTGTGTTTTAAAGCTATGTAACCTTTTTGAGAGTAGTTAAACTTGTTTGCATTGTGGTTTTAAAGCTGAGTGATTTTTCTGAGGGTTAATATAGTGATAAAAGCAGGAGTGGGATCCAGGTGGTGTAATTTAGCCTCTGGGACTTTTAACACTATTCAGTTACAGTTACTGTTTCAATTTTTATTTTTTTTTTTTTTGTTTTTTTTGTTTGGTAATTCCACTCATTGCCAGACACTAAATCAGGTCTAAAACCGGTCTAAACCCGGTCCAAACCAGGTCTAAACTAGGTCTAAACCAGGACTAAAACCAGGTCTAAACTAGGTCTAAACCAGGACTAAAACCAGGTCTAAACCAAGATTTAACAGGACTAAACCATGCTGCACGGACCGTGTCTCCTCCTCTTCTATCAATATTTTTAATACCATTAGGGAAAGTTTGGGCTTTTTCATTTTCTTTTAGCAGATAAAACATCTTATGTGAAGATTTCCTCATCTTTGCTTCTCTACAGCAAATCAAGTAATCCAAAGTATTCAGATTACATTACTCACTTTAAGTAATTTAATGGATTACGTTACAGACTACATTTTGGGCTATGTAATCTGTAATCTGTAGGGGATTACATTTTAAAAGTCACCTTCCCAACGCTGAGTATGTTTGTACAGTTCTGGAAAAAAATGAGACCACAGCAAAATTATCAGTTTCTCCAATTTTAATACTTTTACGTATGTGTTTGAAATGAACATTTGTGTTTCATTCTATAAACTACAGACAACATTTGTCCCAAATTCCAAATAAAAATATTGTCATTTAGAGCATTTATTAGTAGAAAATGGTCAAATGGTCAAAATAACACACAGCTTTCATGTGTCTTGGCCTGTTCTCCACCAAGATGAACATGACTTTACTCCAGTTCTCGATGGTCCAACCCTTATGATCTTTTGCAAACCTCAGCCTGGCTCTTCTTTGCTTCTCATTGATGAAAGTTTTTTTTTGTTTTTTGTTTTTTTCTAGCTTTACAGGACTTAAAGATAATTGAAGTATAATTGAACACAAAGGTTTTTATTTTTAGGTTTATTAGATTTTTAGGCTTATTTATTTTAAGTGTTAGACCCTGTGCCAAGGCCGCAACAAAGGAGGAGAGGTTGGAGAAAATATATTTAAGAACTAAATCACAAACAAAAACACAGTTACTCCCTTTGGCCTTTGCACGACACGATTTTTGGCTCATGATACTAAGGCAGAGTACAGGAACTGACAAATAAGAGTCAAAGGTGAATTTTGAGCTCAATATTTTTCACAATATTTATTCACATGATAAAGGAGATTTTTGACCAAACATGAGGTTACGGTATTGTGCCTTTGTAGGACAGAATGGGTGAAGTGAGGTCATACTCCTTTAGTCCACTTCTTTATACAGTCTATGGTGTTAAAACTATCTTCTACATTTTCAGATGAAAGGCCTTTACTATTACCAGTACTATGATTGTTTTGGAGCCCACACCACACGTAGCCATTTTCTGTCCACAGCGTGTATTCTTAAAAGCACACATTGATCCAAAAGCCGATATTTTTTGCTTTGAGTTGACAGCCGTGTTCTGCAAATGGAGCAACACTGTCCCCACACCCCAGTCCGCCCAAATAGACCCCGGTACGTCAGACCTCACATGCGTTCGTCGTGTTTTTACTGCCATATAGGTCCACACTATAGGGACTTAAGAGGACATATACAGAAATGTCCCCGTTCCCCCGGCTCTGAGCGGAGACGCTGCGTGTAGCACGAGGGGAAGTGCAGATATGTGTAAAACAAATGTCCACTTACTTTTGACCCCAAGGACCTGCCGTAGTCCGCCTGTCCATCACAGTCAAAGCGCCACAGGGGAGACAGCAATGAGGTCAAACAGAATACTTGTCTACAGCAAGCCCCTTTGTACAGATGTGTGGCGACACGAGGGTTTAACACTTGGGAATGTTAAATTTTGTAATAAATTGTTGCAACAACGCCACCCCAAATCTAGTTTGGGGAAATAGAGTCTAAGTGTAAGGCACACAGGTAAGCATATCAAAGAGAGGGAGAGAGCCAGGTTCCATCATTTACACGATCTTTATTTTCTCCATTTTAAAAGACAGTTTTAGGTTGTTTAAAAGTAGCTACATCCGCTATTTGCAAACACCTTGCAGATGGTTTGAAAATTGCCTTGACCCCTTGTGCTGACCTGGCTATATTTGGAATATTACCCAACCAATATAATAGACACGAGATGGATATTATATCCTTTTCAACTCTTATAGCCAGAAGAAGAATATTATTAGAATGGAAGTCACCGACTGCTCCAAAAGCCTCACAATGGCTGAGTGACCTCATGTCATTTCTTGACCTTGAAAAAATTAAATATGACTTGAGAGCCCAACCAACTAAGTTTTACACTGTATGGGGCTCAATAATCAAATATACAAAATCTCTAAAATCATTCTAACTCTACATCCTTCTCAAGAGGGTGTCAAGGCAAATTTCTAATTTCTAATTTGGTGTGCTTCCACTGGCACAAATGGTACAAAGGAAAAGAAAAAAAAAAGAAGAAGAAGAGTACAACGCAGATTGTTACTTATATATAACCTGTATTGTGTATGTAGGACCTGGGGGGGTGGGGTTAGTGATGTGGGAGTATAAAAAAAAAACAAAAAATACATGATCATAATCCTTACATTCTTTCACGCTCATCGTTTGTTTCACACGATCATAAACGATAATCTTTGTCGCCTTCATTAACGTTATTAGTTTGTACGACTATAAACGAAAACAAAATGTCCTTACTTTACAATGAGATTAGTTTATTTCGCACGATCATAAATGATAAACTTTTACGCCTTCGTTAACATTATTAGTTTGCAAGGCCATAAACGAAAAACAAATAATCCTTATACTTTTTATTTTGTATGTGTATGTATGTATGTATATATATATTTATTTATTTTTTATTTCTCATTGTTTTTTTGCACGATTATAAACGATAAACTTTTATGCCTTCGTTAACATTATTATTAGTTTGTAAGACCATAAACGAAAAATAAATAAACTTTATGTGTGTATGTATATATGTATATGTATATTATATATATATATATATATATATATATATTTTTTTTTTTATTATTATCTTTTCATTTACACTGTTTTGCATGATTATAAACGATAAAATTTCGTCCCTTTGTTAACACTACTGTTAGTTTGTACGACCATAAACAGGAGGAAAATGTATGTATGTATGTGTTTATGTATGTATATATACGTGTATACATATGTATGTGTATAAAACAAGAATTGATTAATAAAAAAAATAAAAAGTAGCTACATCCATAAAATAGGCAAAACAGTGGGAGAAATCGGTACAAAATGTTGAAACAGAACAGAGCAAAACCCCAAAACCAGAAACAAAACAGAAACAAAACAAAAGTAAAACAAAACAGTACAGCAAAAATAAAACGGCAATGAAACAAAACAGCAGAGGCGGTGTGCTCACATCGCTGCAGGCCCCCGCTGACACTTAGAAAATTAATTGCTGGAATTAAAATCTGAGCCTGCAGTACAAGAATCTGGGCTAAACACATACAGTGGTTAGAAGTGACAGTGCGCAATCCCAGGCTGAATCAAAGGTAACTTTACACAGAATTACTGCATCCAGACGTGGTTCAAACAACATGGACTGCCACACGGTATAAACATACAATTTATAAAGTTGGTTGGCACAGTTAGCACGTGGTAGTAGGGTTTTGGTTACCTGCCGCCGCGGTTTAAGGGACACGGCGGCGCACAGCCAAGCGCAATGGCGAGGGACTCACTCGGCTCACCCGTGGAGCTAAGGAGATACACCGGTAAGAGTATGGGCGTGGATGAATGAGTGGAGGAGTATCGGGCGTGCATTATCTTGTCAGCGCACACGAGGTGCTCCGTGATTTGGAGGAGCGAGGGACTGATGCGGTGCAGAGCAGCGGCACTAAAAGGAGACGTGATTGGAAATTTGGATATAACGTGCATTAGAGCTTATGAATGGAAGTTACCTGAGCTGAAGGACAGAGCGGCCACGAGGAGAGGCCCGGAAGAGCGTGTGAGCAAAAGGGGAACGACTGAGAAGGGAGCGCTTAAATAGTGCACCAGCGCAGCGCCACGGAACGCCAGGTAAGAGCACCTGCAGCCTAGACCCTCAAAGCCGGTCTTGCACACAGACCCATTTGAGGAATCTGAGAAATGTTGTATTCGTAAAGGTGGAGGTTATGCCTTTGTGGAGTAAACCGGTGTTCTGTCGAAATGGGCTGCAATGTCGAAATGAGCGGTGACGTGTATCAATTCATGCCACCCTGTCGAAAGAATAGTCTGGTTCCTTATATACTTTAGTGGGAATTATTGGGGGATTTGCTAAATTATATATTTTTGGAAAGGTTATAGTATATGGAGTCAGAAAATCAATGTTTGCATTTGCCCAGATGTCTATATGGCAGCCATAAGGGGTGTGCAAAAATATCGGAATATTGATATATCGTATCATTTAATGTAATGATACAGTATTGATATCGTGGGCTGCTGTATCGATATATCACCAAGAGTATTTTTAGGTGTGTTTTGCTAAATTATTTTGTTACAGAGCTACAGTTTTGTTGTTTGTTCAGAGGAAGGAAACTCATTTATGCAACACATTTGACATTTTTACTGTTTTGAGGATTAAAATGTTTGTGTTTCATATGAAATTTGGACAAGAAGTGGTTTAACAAAGACTTTTAGTGTCAGCCACGATTTAGCCTTTATTTTTTATTGAGCCGTATCAAATCAATTTGAAATATATCATCAAATCGAAAGTGCACTGTATCGAGATATGTATCGTATCATGGCCTGTGTATCGAGGTATGTATCGTATCGGCAACTTCTTAATGATACCCAGCACTAGCGGCCATATTTAATATTTTTTTTAAAAGGCCACTTTTTGAAACATCTCAGCCTCTGAGTAAGTTGAAATGTTGATTTTAACTGCTAAACCCACATTTTCAGGGTCAGGGGATCAAATGCAGTTGGTCAGATACCTCAAAGAGTTTAAAAGTAGCTAACATAAAATTTGGATGTTGGATGTCACAATATGATTACACAACTTTTTTATTAGACATTTTCTATACATCATCATTATCATCATCACTTTCATACAACCATAGACGAACAAAATAGCAAAAATAAATAAATAAATTCAGGATCATGTAGAGCGAGTTCATACAAACATTTTAAGACCAAAATGTCAAGGTTCACAGCAGCAGGTACAGAGAGAGGAGCCACAAGGTCCTAATGTAAGTCCATTGAAGCCAGAATCAGAAGGAGCTGGAAGAACCTTCTGGAGAACTTCCTATTTGGCACACAGCGGCTACAGTGTTACATCTGTCCACTCATATATACAGTCTATAGTTGTATGAAAGTGATGATGATAATGATGATGTATAGAAAATGCCTAATAAAAAAGTTGTGTAATCTAAATCTAAATATTGTGTCTGAATGTGTGTGTTGACTTCCAACATGCTAATTTTATGTTAGTTACTTTTAAACAATTTGAGGTATCTGGCCAACTGCATGTAATGTTTTTAGTTTGTTTTACCCATATTGTTGATGTATTTCATGTTCAAATATATCTATTTTTAAATTATCCTGTTGGAGTATTACATGCGAATATTACAATGAAATTGCAAGAAAACAACCAAACTGGGTCATTTTTGACCCACTTATGCATCTAAGGGTTAATGTGGGTAGGTCTTATGGCTTTGTAACTAGCACCATTTGATTCCCTGACCCTGAAAATGTGGGTTTAGCAGTTAAAATCAACTTATTCAGAGGCTGAGATATTTCAAAAAGAGATTTTTGGCGGCCATTTAAAAAAAAAAAATCCATATAGCTGCCATATAGACATCTGGGCAAACGCAAACATTGATATTCTGACTACATATACTATAACCTGTCCAAAAATATATCGTTTAGCAAATCCCCCAAAAATTCCCACTAAGGCTAAAAAATGAATATAAGGAACCGGACTATGCGACCTTATGTTTTTTTCCATTTACAGTTGTATAGATCCAATAAAGCCTAACCCTGACCCTAACCTCCCCAGTTTTACAACATGTTTCTTTGGATTAGACACGGGTTTGATGCTGTTTGCACATAGTGATCACACTTTATACCTTACTTATCAGTGGACCCTTTAACTGATGTAAAACCATAATAAATATTTAGCACAGATTTTACCAAACCAAGTCATAGTTAGAAAAACATGAAAACCTGTCATGTACTTGAAACATACAGACTATTTCACATCTCTGTTTGACTCCAATCAAAAGTATACAATAATGTAAGTTGAGCACAGTGTTGGCTGCAGGTCTTTCTTTTATAAAGAGGAGGAAGCTGCAGAGCCGGAGCAGCCTCTTGTGTCTGGGGAAATATGGCCAACTTTCTTTAGGATTAACTTAAGTAGGTTTAACTGAAGCGCAAACAATAAGGAGAGACGCAATTAAAGGGCTCCATTAAACCAACGCCTCTCCCACAAACACTGAGATGGAGGCAGCCTTTCTTCTTTATAGATTTATTTTCAACACATCCATCAGACAGAGCCAAAAAAGTGTTACCAGTACTGTAGTTTGAGTTGGTTGTGGTCGTTTATGGCAGTGGTCTTCAACCTTTTTTGTGCTACGGACCAGTTTTATGTCTGACAATACAGTATTTTGCGGATTAGGGGTTGTGGCGGCGTGGCATGGTTTAGTTCTAGTTAAATCTTGGTTTAGTCCTGGTTTTAGACCTGGTTTTAGACTTGGTTTAGTCCTGGTTTAGACCTGGTTTTAGACCTGGATTTAGACCTGGATTTAGACCTGGTTTAGACCTGGTTTAGACCTGGTTTTCGTTCTGGTTAAATCCTGGTTTAGTCCTGGCTTTAGACCTGGTTTAGACCTGGTTTAGACCTGGTTTTAGTTCTGGTTAAATCCTGGTTTAGTCCAGGCTTTAGACCTGGTTTAGTCCTGGTTTTAGACCTGGTTTAGACCTGGTTTTAGTTCCAGTTTATTCTTGGTTTAATCGTGGTTTAGACCTGGTTTTAGACTTGGTTTAGACCTGGTTTTATGAAACTACCAAACGACCCACGGCCCGGTACCAGTCCACGGCTCGGAGGTTGGGGACCCCTGGTTTATCAGCGTATTAGGAGTGTACACAGAAGAGACCAGGTTGCTTATGGAGCTTGCATATGAATGACAGAATAAAGGTTTTGGTTTTGATATAGTCAACTGAGATGTATTTGGCAATACCAAAAAGTTGGTAATTGGATTATTTAATTTAACAAGAGTGAATGAAATGATAACAACCAAAGGCCCCCTTTTTCCAAAGAGAACTAAATAAATCAATAGTTCCTTATCAATTATTTTGACCGTGAGAGAGTTCAGTTCATTCCTTTGTTAAAGTTTGGTGACTTTATCTGAAAGAGTTCAGGTCGTTCCTTTGTTAGGATTTAGGTAGAAAAAAACACAGCTATAATCCAGTTCGTTTCACAAATTTGTATAATGTCCATAATCCAAGGACTGCAGGGCAAAAGAGAAAAAGAAAAAAATATATATCAATACTACCAGTTCACCATCAGAGAAGATTGTTCATTATTCAGAGTCCCATTAAAAATATTGACTTAAAAACAAGGTCAAAGCAGTTTGTAGGGGTCTGCTTTTGGTCTGCTTCACTCATGGTCCGAACACGCCTACCGAAAATGACTCCTATCACTAGCCTCAAAAAACACCTTCCCATAAAGCATTGCAGCCAAGTGTATAGGTCGATACAGTATTTTAATTTTATCAAGTGTTTTTAAAAACCGCGGCTCTTTCTGCACTCAGTTTGTGCGCATCTGCTGTGTTGACAGACAAATAATCACTATGTTGCACTGCACTGGATAATAATCAGAGAATAAATCATGGAGGACAACAGAGGTACCAAAAAGAGGAAAGGAGGTGTGGAGAAGATCCACGACAGGGTCAGCCCGATGTTTCCCCTTAATCCCCGTGTACCTCCAATTGCAAAAGATATCGATGTTCCCCGTTAATGTGAGATGACGACGGCCCGTGATGTTATCACCATGAACTCATAAACAGCAGCATGTAGAACTTTGTACACAACTCACCACACATCAGCCTGGAGCAGAAGCACTGAGTTCAGGAGCAGCCAACAGCGCTAAAGACACAAGAGCATGCGGTGCACAGTCCCTCAAGACAGGATTGGGGGTCTGATCCTTGGTCATGTGTCGTCCTCCAAGCATGTTGGTCAGATAGGTCCAGAGGCTCCCTCCTCCATGTCCTGGTTCCAGACGGGGGTGAGCAGGATCAGTGCACAGTGGACTGGGTTCGAGCAGTTCGGTGTGAGGAAAGTGAGAATGCACTGTGGACTACAGGTGCGGCTGGGCTGCTCTTGTCCTCCCTGCGCGAGGACTGCAACTGGTTCTGAGGTGTTTCAAAGCATCTGAACAGAAGCGTGAATCCAGTATGGTTTGTTATATGTTGTTTTGAGAGGACTTTTCTTGAATTTGTCCTTTTGCTGAGTAGGTTTGACCCCTGTTTGCAGAAACATGTACATGAATGCACTGGAGAAAGTAAGAAGCTACATGTCTCACGCACTGATGGGTAGAGGGTCACATGTCACTTTCCTGCCTAAAACAACAGTCAACACTGTGATAGACTGGGCCAAATTTTGTTCCCAGTCCGACCCTGAACCAGTCTATAGCTTTTCTCAAGACTTTCCCGTAACCTCTGTGGTTGGCGACCAAACTGATATGGAGAGAAGCCAGTGATATTACTTTGGGTATTTCATTTGTAGATGTTGGTGATTTCCAGAAAAGTCTCATAGACAGGAAAAAGTGAGCTGACATTTCCCTTGTTCCAACAGTATGCTCCACCACCACTTTTTGGACTTCTGGGGGTTTAGTTGGGTACTGGAGAGTGAAGTTGGTGGTGGTGCAGGCACTGAACCCAGCTGGTCAGATGAGGTATTTTAGATTGTTGCCCCCTGCTGGCCAGGCCAGGTGACAAATTGATCACGTCCAAGTAGTCATTACACAGCAATACTGGTTCAGGAGCAGTTATAGTGGCAGAGTCAGAGAACGCAACAATCACGTTTTTAAACACATTATTTTAAGTTCTAAAACATAAGACACCAAAGCAAAGTTACTCAAGAGCATGTTTAAATGCCTTTACAAACAAGTTTAGATTTTATTCAGGAAATAGACTTGTCAAAATGTAAATGTTGTTTTGTATTACCCTGTAGGTTTTTTTTTTTATTTTTTATAAATATTAATAGCTAAATATCACTACAAACTGATTACTCCCTAGTTCATATGGTAAACTAGACTGTTACCAAATCTTGCTTATGGTATGATCATACTGTTTCCTTGGCTTCATAGTTTTTGCTCTGCACTGATCAGGGTTAATGTGGAAAGGTGCGTCTCCCTCAAACATGTTTCACTTTCAGCTGTTGTGGTTTGTGTGTCTGTGAATGGACGTCATTTCATTTCATAAACTGACACTCCCAGATCTCCACCTGCAATGATTACACCAGGAAGCACACAGCACTCAATCAGTAACTCAGTCTCTGAACAGTTTGTCTGAGAGTCCTGCAGGACACAGATTAGACCTGGTTCAGTTCTGGTTTTGCTGCTCTGCTGTCCTTCCTGTTTGGTGAGTATTTTTATTAGTTGTATTTATGTTATTGATGAAACATGAAAAATGAATGAAAAGGAGCAGAAAGTAGAGTAATCTTATGTTATCTGCCTTCATTTCCAGACTACGCCAATAACTATATTTCACTATACATTTTCATTTAACTCAAACACAGTCATTACTTTCAGTCAATACGTTTTCATATTTATGTATAGTGGTACTTTTTATGTATTTTGTAAAGCTACAGTATGTAAATTCCTGGAGGAAGCACGTGGTCTGTATGACAGTCTGGTTTAACTTTCTATTTCCATGGAAATAGAAAGTTAAACCAGACTGGAACATTCTCCATGGAGACAAGAGACAAATTTTCCAGTGTGGAATATTAAAGCCAGTGAAACTTCATGTCCATGTGTAGCAGAGTGGTGTATTACAGTGGATTGTTTTTTATACAAAATGTATTAATTTTAGTAAAATAATTAGCAACAGCACCTGTAATACCAGGACACAGTACTTTCACCACACATTATATATACTTGATGTCATCAACATTCGCTGATGATGTTATACAAACTGGAGGCTCTGCTCTGTTATTATTATCTAACTCATAAACAGAACCATGAACTCACAGGCTCCTGATGTGCTGTTTAAATCAGTTTTTGTCTTTTTTTCTTGAGTTTTCATCTTAAAACATTTTGACAGTGTTTTCTAATGTGTGGATTGTGTCACCATGGTAACCGCTGAACATTTCATCAGATACAGACAGTATCTTTAATTGTATTGTATTTCTTTAATATGTATTGTCTGTTTTTCTCCATTGTTTATGAGACATGCACATCTTTATTTGAATTAAGGTGGATTGGAAACTTGTTTTATTAGTTAGGTGGCCTACTAGATAACCAGAGCTGAAAGTAGTTGTATGTTTTTTGCTAGTACAATGACATGTTTGTTTACATCCATTACATATGATTATGATTACACTATGATTATGTTCAAATCTGGGTCAAGCTGACTCGTCCATTCTAATGTGAATGGGTGGAATGCTGTGACAGTTAAAATAGATTTGACAATACTATTGATACTATGATACTATTTTGATGGTGTTTTCTTATTTAAAAGTAAAATACTCTCATTTAATGTCATATTGAGAGAAAATCAAATTGCTCTGAGGCTTCCACCATTAGTGGCACTGAGGGCAATTTTTTGAGGGCAATTGGTTGGGGGCCCCTCTAAGTTCAGGGGCCCTAGGCCCTACTGTTGCCTAATGGTAGCACCGCCTCTGGATACTAATACATGTAGAACACACCCAGCATGAGGTCACTGCAAAGTGTCAGTCGGCACACAGGTTCACTGACTGAAGATGACATGACACATTTACATTTACACATGGAAACAATGTTTTACTGTTTTGAGCCCTTAAACCCAGCAATTCAGTAAGTATTGCTGGGTTTCAGATGACATCACAGCATTTTATAGGACAATATTGTTTAATATAGATGGAGGCAGCTAAAATGAACATTGTTCAACTGCAGATTTTTGTTTTAATACAGCAGGTCTTGGGTCTAATCAATAATGTAAATGATCAGGTTCCAGATTTGGGAATTTACCTTTCTGATATTTCTTGGTAAAGTACATTATAATCAATTGGTAGTTTTCAGATGAATGTCATATACTCAGATGAGGGGCAAGGGACATTTTTTGTTTTGTTTTTTTCTGTTGTTTACATTGTACTTTGCCATCAAATATCTAAAATATAAATGTACAAATGCTGAACATAATTTTCACTGACTAGACCAAAAATTCACGGGGCCTGATCTTGTCCCAGTCTTAGTACTAGTGCAAGTGTGGGGCGTGGAGCTCTAAACGAGAGGTGTGCTGTGCCTGAATATCAGGTGGAGTGGAGCAGACTGAGGGCAGGTGTGACACGTTCAGTGAATTGCCAGAATCGTAAAAATAAATATTAAACAAGTCCACTGAAAAACAACATGTAACATGCTCAAGGCTTCTTTTATTTGGAAATATTTTAGGATGATAAATGCTTAACATTCATAACATGGTCGTGTGCTGTGTGGAAGCCGTTCAGATGCCCTCCCGCAGCAGAGCACAGCCCCTCGCCCGTTCCCTGTATTGGCTCAGCTCTGCTCTATAGTTTGGTTTGATCTGGATCTGTACAAAAGCTGCTCATTCACATGAGGCCGTTTACAGTGGTGTCCTAAAGTTTGTTTTCTTACCCTGTCTGCGGCCCTAATGCTGCGATGTCGATTTCCTCACATTCTCGCGACTGGCCTTTGACAGGGATCAGTGCATTCACTGACAGCTCGGGGCTGTGACAGCGAAGCAGACGCATGTATCATATCTGTGCACAAAGCGGTAACATCAGAAACATTTATATGACAATAAACATATTCCATAGTCCACGAGACATCCAAATGCACTGGACACCAGTGAGAAGAGAATGTGAGCAGTCAGCGATAGCAGCAGTGAACACTCGTACCTCAGGTGAGTCCGTCGGAGAGGACTGCAGGACAGACTGGAGCAGGAGCGAGAAAGATAGACACTAGTCTGCTTTGTAATACGAGGAAAACAGAAAACTATAAAAGGTTAATGTGTGCGTGTGTGCATGGGCTTACTGCAATGCATGTGCATGAGAGGGGCTCACAGCGTTCGGGACACAAACCCAGTCAGTTCTGTCATGGCTCACACAAAATTCTATATTCCTGGTGCCTCTGCTGGTGTGTACTTGCATCGTGGGTCTCTGGAGCTGTTTTATTGGTCACATGGTCACATTTTTCTATAGCGCTTTTCCACCTTCAAGGCACTCAAAGTGCTTTACAGCAAGGAACCACTCACACATTCACACACACATTCATACACATGTATGCAGACACTGTGGGCAAGGTGGGTTAAGTGTCTTGCCCAAGGCCACAATGGCAGCATTCATCTGTGGCTGGAATCACACCAGCCAACCTGTGGGCCAGTGGATCTGACTGCTCAACCTGTGATGTTTATGTCGAGAGCTGGATTCAAACCACCATCCTTCAGATCAGTGGGTGAATGCTCTACCAACTGAGCTACTGCCGCCCACATTTATTGTCACATTTATAACTTTTCTCCACACTCTTCTTTGAGGCCTGATAATGAGGCAAAGATTACAGATATTACCCACATGGACAGTGCTTTTAAACACCACAGCAGTCACAGATTGGTTCAGATACCGTCACTATATATGTACTTGTACCATCCCACTCCAGCCTCCAGCAGCGAAGTACAGCCCCACCTGGACACGCCCCCTCTTTATTGCTTGTGCTAGTCCAAAGACTGGGGGCAATATCAGGCCCACTGTATTACAAAACAAATCTGCATTTCATCAATAATAATTTTAGCTGCCCCCCATCTGTATTAATTCATATTGGCCACATACATACATACAGAAGAATGTTGTGATGTCATCTGAAACCCAGTAATAGGAAAAACTTGCTTTTGCCCTCCATCTGAGTGTATGACATAGACTGATTATATGAGTGTCATTTTCAGTTAGTAATATGATTTAAAGATTTAAATGTGCTCATACTTTAAATAACCAGATGAATGGAAAGGACAGATGAAAGGATAGATAAACAGACAAATCAAAAACTAGAAGAAAAACATTAAAGCTCCACAAAAACATTCAACTGTCTCTGATCAGAGTATTGTTTTGGATGAAGTGTCCCAGTACACAGTCTACAGTAACCCAATATCTAGTTCAGTCATTATTTACTCCAAGTACTTTTATTTCTGGTTTAAGGTTTGATGGAACTTGAAGCATTGTGTGAAAATATCCTTGATACTTTCCTGATAAACACAAGAGCCTAGCTGTGCATACAACCTGATTACATTTGTATCTTGCCTCACTTGTTAAATTGCTCATTGCCCTTTAATATAATGAACAAATAGACAACCATGTAAAAAACTAATAGTGTGGATGTGTGTGTTTCAGGGCTCATGATGGCGGCAGCCGTTGGTTCTGAGGATGACTTCCGCTGCTCCATCTGTTTAGAGCTGTTCAACAGCCCAGTCACCACTCCATGTGGACACAACTTCTGCAAAACCTGCATCAAAATGAACTGGGATGTGAACCCTCCAGTGTGTCCTCTGTGTAAGCACAAGTTCTCCTCCCGGCCCTGTCTCAAGACCAACACTCTGGTGGCAGAGATGGTGGGTAAGATCCGAAGCATGCACCAGGCCCAGGCCGGACCAGAGGACGTGCCCTGTGATGTGTGCCCTGAGCCAAAGCTCAAAGCTCTGAAGTCCTGCCTCGACTGTGTGGCCTCATACTGTCAGAGCCACCTGGAGCCCCACCAGGTGGTGTCCGGGTTAAAAAAACACAAGCTGATAGGACCTGTGCACGACCTGAAGGACAGAGTTTGCTCCAAACATAGCCAGCCTATAAAGAACTTCTGTCAAACTGACCAGAGCTATATCTGTAGTATGTGTTCTCTTCTAGAGCACAATAACCATACCATTGTTTCTCTGAAGGATGTTTGTGAGAGGAAGAAGTCTTCTCTACAGCTTTCTCAGAATAAGACCAAAGACTGGGTGGAAAAGAGGTGCAGGAAGATCAAGGCGATCCAGGACTGCGCAAAGCTGAGTCGTAGAGTTTATGAGGAGGAGTTGGCTGCAGGTCAACAGGCCTTCACTGCTCTGATAGAGACTGTTCAGAGCCGGCAGAAGCAGTTCATGGAGAAGGTCCATGAAAAACAGAAACAGGCCGAGAGTAAGGCCAAAAACATGGAACAACAGCTGAAGCAGGAGATCAGTGAACTGGAGAAGAGGAGCTCTGAGCTGGAGAAGCTCTTTAAGTTGTGAAGACCATTTCTACTTTGTAAAGAACTGCACTGCACTGCCTCCTGTTGAAGTGAAGGACTGGAACAGTGTAAACTTTAAGCTGGAAACATGTAAAAGTGAAACAGGCCAGGCTCTGTCTGAGTTGAAAGAGCAACTCAATGCAAAAATAAATAGAAACATATTTAAGAGTGTGCAGAAATTTGCAGTGGACATCACCCTGGATCCAAACACAGCTAATGCTAACCTCACTCTGTCTGACGATCTCAAACAGGTCCATCACACAGACAAGAGGAAGAATTACCCCGACACTGCACTGAGGTTCTCCAACTCTCCTGGAGTTCTCGGGAAGCAAGGTTTCTCTTCTGGAAAGTTTTACTTTGAGGTGGAGGTCAGAGGAAAAACTGAGTGGGACATAGGTGTGGCGCTGGAGAGTGTGAGCCGGGAGAATGTCACTCTGCATCCTCTGAGCGGCTTCTGGACCGTCAGCCTGCGAGGGGGAAAGCTCTATGCCTGTACCGGGGACCCACTGTTGCTCAAGTCTGCTCCAGACAAGTTGGGAGTGTTTGTGAACTATGCCCAGGGTCTGATCCACTTCTATGATGCACATACTGCAGATCTCATTCACTCCTTCACCGGCTGTGTCTTCATTCAAAATCTGCTGCCTTTCTTTAGCCCCAGCAATAACCACAGAGGCACAAACTCCGCCCCTCTGGTGCTCAGGCCGGTGAAGGAGCTGTGCAGCCCACTGAAGAAACACAAACAGTAGAGCAGACACTTGGCTACTGTTCAACAACCCAGAGGACGGCAGGGCATACAGTTGTGTCTCTGGGCAAGGCATTTTACGCACCTTGGCTATGAAGTGGTGTAAGTGTGAATGATGATTTTTGGGTGGTCAGAGGGTGCAGTGTTCTCATTTTTGTTAGTGTACCCCAGGTCAGATGTGGTGACATGTTTATTAGGTGTTGAAGGACTAATATTAAAATCTAAAAGTCCAGACTTGTTGTTGCTGTAATTAAGAAAATCACTTTTGCCCCTTTGGTCACAAGAGCAGGTTTTTCATCCTTTATTTTATATTTAGAATTACAAAAGTGAAAGACTGTGGGTTAGATCGAATTGAAAATAATATATCTGACAAAATGTGTTGACAACTTCCGAGGCATAACATAGAAGAGTTTGGATTTGTAAAATTCTTTGTGATGACGATCTGTGTGTTTTTTTTTCTGTGTGCTGTTTGTTTTTTTATCCCTATAAATTAAAATTTGTCTTACCCCAATACAGATATGTTGTATGACCATCTTTTGAAAAGGAAGTGCACTGTTAGCTTGCTAGTTGTATTACAGTGACTAGAAATTCCCCTCTGACCTCTAAAAGTCATGAAAAGCGTTCATACACTCAAGGCAGGTTATGATGTTGTTACCTCCTCAAAAACAGACCTGGAGTTGTGTTTTGTTTCATTTACACATTTGAGTAACACTTAACCTTGTGATGTCATGAGGTGGTAGTTTTCAAGTTCACAGTTTGGTTATCAGTACCTTTAACCTTTTTTTTTTTTCAGTAGAGATTCCAGGTCTGAAACCATCCAGATGATGGTGAAAGTGTGTGGAGTTTAAATACAGTGGAGTGTTTCACACAGAGATGGGGACTTGCAGGTCATGACTTGGACTCGAGTCAGACTTGAGTCACTATTTTTAGGACTTGAGACTTGACTTGATAAATTGGACTAAGACTTGGAACTTGACTTGGACTTTAAGGTCAGTGACTTGAGAAGACTTAATGCTTCTTAAAAAAAAATATGTTTTTAGAAAATACTTTTCTCTTTACAGTTGATAAATGTGTTGCTGAATTTTACAGGAATAAACTGGAACATGTCCCTCCCACTTCTGTTTGGTACTTTAGACCACGGGTGTCAAACATGCGGCCCGGGGGCCAGATCCGGCCCTCCAAGACCTTTAATGTGGCCCATGGCTGATTTTCTACTAAAATATTTTAATTATATTTTCTATTAAAGTATTAGTAATTTTCTGCACTGCTTAGCATAGCAGCGTCTCCAGTGTCTCTGTACGTGGCCCCTCCCACCAGAGCAGCACAAATGAAGACTTGTCTCTTTCCAAACGCTCTTAAAGGACGATCGTTTTGACTGTTGACCGTGACACCCTCATCAGAAAAATGTCCAACATGACAAAAGTGGAGCCGAGTGCAGGATTTTCCAAGAAAAATTGACTTATTTCTATTTGCATACAAGTTAAAACATTGTGTTGAAATAGCATTTTTCTTAGTTTCAGGTTGTTCATAATATTATAATTTGTAAAAGAAAGAGTTCAAATTCAAAAAGATTTCTGTAATAGATTTGCGTTTCTCTGCACAAATATTTGAAGTTATTGCTATTTTTTAGGGTTTATATGCCATGAGTTTTCTGATCCGACCCCTTTGGGATCAAAGTAGGTTGGATACAGTCCCCGGACCAAAACGAGTTTGACACCTCTGCTTTAGATGGAACTGAAGTACTGTGATATGGTATCCTCAAATGTACTACAGTAATCTAAAAGTACAATACAGTACAATGGAGGAAACTACAAAAAACATGATCCTTCCATTTCAGTGCAGACTACATGACAAAATAACTGTTATTAAGCACTTTTCAATCTGAATTCTTCCTATTCTGACCATGAAGATTCACACTAAGATCTTGTCTAGACATTTAAAAAGGGAAAATTTGCATTTCTACAACTCTTATATAAATATACACTACAGTTCAAAAGTTTGCGATCACTAAGACAATTTTGTGTTTTCCATGAAAAGTCACACTTTTATTTACCACCATGAGTTGTAAAATGAACAGAAAATATAGTCAAGACATTGACAAGGTTAGAAATAATGATGTGTATTTGAAATAATATTTTTTTTCCTTCAAACTTTGCTTTCGACAAAGAATCCTCAATTTGCAACAATTACAGCATTGCAGACCTTTGGCATTCTAGCTGTTCATTTGTTGAGGTCATCTGGAGAAATTTCTCCCCACGCTTCAAGAATCCCCTCCCACAAGTTGGATTGACTGGATGGACACTTTTTGCGTCCGTACGGTCAAGCTGCCCACTTCTCTTTCTACTCTGCTTAGAGCCTTTTTGTGCTGTTCTATGAAGGGAGTAGTACACACCGTTGTCTTCAGTTTCTTGGCAGTTTCTTGCATGGAATAGCTTTAATTTCTAAGAACAAAAATAGACTGTTGAGTTTCACATGAAAGTTCTCTTTTTCTGGCCATTTTGAGCATTTAATTGACCCTGCAAATGTGATGCTCCAGATACTCAACCTGCTCAAAGAAAGGTCAGTTTTATAGCTTCTCTAACCAGCTAAACTGTTTTCACCTGTTCTAACTTGATTGTACAAGGGTTTTCTAATCATCCTTTACCCTTCTGACGCAATGAGCAAACACCTTGTACCATTAGAACACTGGAGTGACAGTTGCTGGAAACGGGCCTCTATACACCTGTGTAGATATCGCATCAAAAACCAGACATTAGCAACTAAAATAATCATTTACCACATTAGCAATGTATAGAATGTATTTCTGATTAGTTTAAAGTTACTTCATTGAAAAAAAACAGTGCTTTTCTTTCAAAAATAAGGAAATTTCTAAGTGACCCCAAACTTTTGATCAGTAGTGTACCAGGACTTTTTACGCACCATTTAGTTTAAAAGTCATATAAATTGCAAACATCTAAGCTACTTTGGTTTAGAGACTTGAAATGACTTGAAGCTCAAAGCAGACGACATGGACTTGACTCGGATTTATGGGCCAGTGACTCGAGATCCAGCTTGGATTTGCTGTCTTTGATTTGGGACTTGACTTGGACTTGAGGCCTAAGACTTCAGACTTACTTGAGACTCGCAAAACGACGACTCGGTCCCACCTCTGATTTCTCGTATTACCACGTGACATCACAAGGTGGAACAGAGCATTTTCAGTTTGAGAGAAGAACTCAGCCTGTTTGTGATGAGGAAACAGACAATAAATCCAGTGTTGGGGAGTAACAGATTACATTACCGGGATTACGTAATCAAAGTACAAATTATGAGTAACTGTATTCGGTTACAGTTACTGTTTCAGTGAGTGGTAATTGGATTACAGTTACTTTGTTGAAATAAATGGATTACACAGCGGTATTTTCCTGTTTTCACATTTTGGGCTAAACCAGGACTAAACCAAGACTAAAGCAGGACTAAACCAGGTCTAAAACCAGGACTAAACCAAGACTAAAGCAGGACTAAACCAGGTCTAAAACCAGGACTAAACCAAGACTAAAGCAGGACTAAACCAGGTCTAAAACCAGGACTAAACCAGGACTAAAACCAGGACTAAAAGCAGAAATATAGCAGGACTAAAGCAGGATTAAACTAAGACTAAATCAGGTCTAAACAATATGACACTTAACAGTAGGTAGACATAATTTAAGGCAGCAGTGATCTCATATAGAAATCATTTCTCTATCAATAATATATATTTTTTAATATGTTTAAGTAAAGACTGAACTTGTTATTGTCTTTTAGCAGATAAAACAAAACATCTTATGTTAAGATCCTAGTCTTTGTTTCTCTACAGCAAACAGTTGCTTATTCAAGGAGACTTGGGCTCAACAGACAATTTGAAGAGAACAAACAAGAATTTTCAGGATGTGGTTGCTACATTCATGTCATTTTAAAAAGCATGACAATATCAAGTAATCCAAAGTATTCAGATTACATTACTCACTTTAAGTAATTTAATGGATTACGTTACAAACTACATTTTGGGATATGTAATCTGTAATCTGTAGGGGAATACGTTTTAAAAGTCACCTTCCCAACACTGCATAAATCAGAAAGTAGCGTAATATGGACCTTTTAAAAACACAATCACCAAATCTCCAACAAAACATAACTTAGTAACAGTAGATTGTTCTTAGTCCTAAACTAAACATGGAGACATTTTAATGAACTTTCACTGGGACAAGTCCTTATTACTTTTCATTACATCAGTATCAAAATTTCTGCCTCTTTCGTCTTTTCAGCATCATGAATTTATGAATGTGTACCGGGTTATACTGAGGTCATACTGAGGAATTACTTCAGAAATCTCACTCCGATTGAATTTGTATCATATAAATCTACTTGTTTAGGCAATCGTTCACATTTTTATCAAAGGTGATTCGCTGGATATTTGTTTTTTGTCTTAATTTGTGAGGATATGTGCAGGTCCTAGATGACATTTGGGCAGCAACACGTATCTTCGTCACCGTTACATTATTTATGAGCTTTTGGCCGTGTTATAATGTTGTTACCTGCTCAAAAAGTGACATACTGTAGCTTTAGAGCACCACTGAGGACAGGCTGTTGTCCCTGCCTGGCTGAAGTTAACCCCCAAAAAACTGTCAATCATTTGTGCTGATTTGTGCTGCAAAAAGTTTTGTTTGTGCGATTATGGTTCTTAAAATATTTACAGTTTCATTTTCGGCCGATATCCAGCCTCTCAAAATGTTACATAACCTCAAAACAGGCAGAAAATTATATGTTTGGATTTTGTTTGTGCTGTTTTGTGCTGTGACAATTTTCTTTTGTGCGAGTATATTTCTACAATTATTAATTACGATTTTTGCAGGAATTATATGACATCTCAGCTGACGGGAGCAGCTTTAGTAAAACTCTACAAAACTAGTCAAAATAAATAATCTCAGGCTGTGGAAAAGTCTGTATATTATATGTAAATAACCTAGAGTATAATTTGTCTTGGTTAAAATCTCTTGTGACATTAACCATAACCATTAACTTACGCATTTATGTTTAGTGCTTTTATTTTGAAAGGTTTATTTTCGTTGAATTACCTTGACATCGAGAACGGAAAAATGTTATACGGAGCAAATGTATACACATATATTTTTTGGTATTTTCTCTGTTTAGCTTCCCCTCTGAAGAGGCACAAAGGTACACAGCAAAAAGTGGAGTGTTAAAACTGACTCACAGAATCAATTTTAACATTTTCTCAGAGTTTATATGAGTCCAATCTGTTCTAGAGTTAATTTAACATTTTTGGAAATGTGAATGAAGTAACACTGGACCAAAGTTCCTGTTTAACCTCAAAATCAAGAGTTATAATGTTTTGAGAGTAAAGAGATAACATTTTGTAGAGTTATCCTGATTTAGTTAAACAACACACAGAGGTGTTTAATTTTTACACTTTATTTTAGTTAATTTAAGATGAAATTATGTACAAAACTGGTTCAAACTGGTCTTCTGTCACAGGAGTTTTAAGTGGTGGGTGGGAGGAGCCAAATTAACACTAGGGGAAGTTGAATTAACGTCAGTCAAATCAACTCTGGCAAATAACCCCAACTCAAACCCCCATTTAACTTTCAAATAGTTAAAATGACACTTTTTGTGTTAAAAACAACTCTGAAATATTTTACTCTGAAATTTTAAACCTCCAGTTTTTGCTTTGTATGTTATTGATTTAAATATTTCTTTTGAATAACTTTGTGTCTCTAGCTGTTGTCTTTGTTGATTGATGTTGTCAAGATGAATGTAAATAATAATCAAACTTGCGTTGAGTTTTGTGTATGCATATTTACACCCTGTATTTTGTATTCTTTTTAGCTCTTATGGCAGTTTGGAGGATTTATCGCCATTAAATCTAAAAATCACCAGTTCAAGTGTCAGTTTTCATTCAGAGGGATACACTACATTATATAAAATATCACTGCACAAAAAAGCACAACACAGCACAAAAAAATACAAACGTTTTGTATAATTTTCGGCCAGGATGCCAGGGTGAAGCATACATGGAAAAAGAAAACTTAAACTGCGCCACTGTTACATTGTACAAAGATATTCATAGATATACAACTTTCATGTAAATATGACTATTTTTGTTTATGACAGGGGTTCTTAACCTTTTCAGTCTCGGGGCCCGACGTTTTATGAACAAAGTAACCTTGGGCCCTATCTCATATTAAATGCATTATATTGTACTGATTGTACTGATTGTGGGGCCCCCCAAGGAGGTGGTCGCGACCCTACCTATTACACCTATTACTTTAAATCTGCACTGTGATAACCATCTCAAGTTTGCCCTGATGAAGGCCAAAGGGCCGAAACGCGTTGGCGTATTTTAAACTTTATCTGCCATGTGGTATTAAAGAATTTTAATTATTTTGTACTTTTTGAGTGCCTCAGTTTTTTTCCTACTTTGTGGTCATGATCCTACTTTGGGCCCCAGCCCTATGGTTAAGAATCACTGGTTTATGAAATACCAAAGAGGTATAAGAAATATCAATATAGTAATTAAGTAAATTTCACTTTTTTTTTTTTTTTTTTTTGTAAGTCTAATTTCTTTTTGTTTTGAAGTTATTTAACATTTTGAGGGGCTGGTTGACGTCATCGGCTGAAAATAAAACTGCTAATATTTTAAAAACTATAATCGCACAAACAAAACTTTTTGCAGCACAAACTAAGCACAAATAAATAACTCAATTTTGTGTCGTTTTAAAGCATTTTGAAGCTTCCTCGGGGTTGGCTGACTCCCATTTGACCTATAAAAGAATTGTTAATATCTCCAAAACTAAAGCAGCACAAATGAAACTTTTTGCAGCACAAAACAACACAAACTAGAAAAGCAGTCAGAGAGCGCAGACCTCCGCCAAGGACTACCCCCATTTTTTATATAAATTGCGATAAAATCAGTCTTCTGGATCAGATCCGGATCAGCCTTTGGAATATGAAAGAGGATCCCATTGTCCATCCCTGAGTCAAATTTCATGGGGTTTGGTCAATAATTAACCGAGATATTGAGAAACAAAATTTTTGGCCCCATTTACCACAATGTTAACTAAAATTTCAAAGTGATCCAGAATCCAGGATTTCTTCCGGATCACCCCCAAAATGAAATCAGTTCTTCCTTTTCACATTTCCAACAAATCCTGAAAATTTCATCAAAATCGGTCCATAACTTTTTGAGTTATGTTGCTAACAGACAAACAAACAAACAAACAAACAAACAGACAAACGCCAAAAAACATAACCTCCTTGGCGGAGGTAACAAAGCACAGATGGTTTGCATATTTTTTGTGTAGGTGTGAGCCATACATTTGTGCAACACATCTCTACAAAAGATGAATTACTGCTGTATTCTTCTTCTTCTTCTTCTTCTTCTTATTATTATTATTATTATTATTATTATTATTATTATTATTATTATCATTATTATTATTATTATTATTATTATTATTATTATTATTATTATTATTATTATGTTTAATTGTTGCTGCCAAAAAATGAAGTTCCTTTGGCTTCTATCTGTATGTTGCTTCTACTCTGTCACTGTCACTGTGTGTGTTTCCAGGATCTCCATGGCCCCTGTATGACATCACAAGGTGGAACAGCCTGTTTTCTGTTTGAGAGAAGAACACGGCTTAACACCACTGATGTTGTATGTTAACTTTGTGACGTTGCAACCTGACCTTCTCCAGCAGATGGCGCCACTGCTCTGGGTGAGGTTTATGCAGTCTTGGTTTTACCTGAAGTTCAGCGTGTGAGTGGAGAAAAGACCAACACCACTCAAATGATCAAACTCCAGTCCACAGTTTTCACACATTTTTGTATGTTTTAGTTTACACCTTAAAACACATTTTAAACATGTAGAACGTCTCTGGTTTGGTAAAGTAGAGTTTAGTTGGCATTTTGGTAATGACTGACCAAATTAAACCTATAAACCTATAAAATTGTCACAGTGAAGGACACAAGGACACTGGACAAACTGCTCTCCATCACGGACACTCCTGGGTCATTCCACGCCAAATCTCCAAATGCCTCCGCCCAACCATCTCAGATTTGACTGGAAAAAAAAAATTCTCGGAGGTTCACACATTTTTCAATAGGAAAAGTCCCACATTTTAGCTCCCAACTCTAGTTTTGTCATTAAAAATATTTTGTCAACCCCCCTGACCTGTTTTGAGCAGTTTTCTGAGGAGCCACTTTCAGATTGTTGTATCTAAAAAACTATTTAAGGTCAAATGTACTTGTAGAATCTGGACTTTTACACATGTGCTTTTGGTTTATCACTGATTTCTGGGGGGTGGAATTTGCTCAAAAATGCTCCTCCTCAAATCTGAGGGCATCTTTGAAGGACTATGGAAAGTGCAATTTCAAAGACAGAGGTTTGATATTGAACATACACCGTCAGACACATGCCACTGTGTACTTTGTATTTTAAAATTGACCCTCTGTGAAGAACGCTCTACAAAATATTAAGTGTTAAAAATAAAAAAAAAATAGATTTGATGCCATCTTTACCATTTTATGTTATACCAAAAAAAAATGACAGCACCCACCAACGTAAAATTGACTGTTTTAGAAAGACTAGATGTCTGGTTTTAACGTATCCAAAATTTGTGATGGTGTTCTGCCTTATTTTTGCAAAATGAATTTTTGAAAATGTGGTGTCTGCATACATGCAGAGCATTCATGGACTATGAAGGCACTTTCATAAGCTGAGAAATTACTCTGATTTCATGGAGATTTTTTTTCACTCAAATGTGAGATGGTCGGGCGGGGGCATTTGGAGATTTGGCGTCGAATGATCCTCCTGCTCACCCACTTCCCCAGATTATAGAGGGACAGATAATACTCCCTACAACTGTACAACAACTCACCCTTATGTAACAAATAATACTCCCTACAACTGTACAACAACTCACCCTTATGTAACAAATAATACTCCCTACAACTGTACAACAACTCACCCTTATGTGATAGAATACTCCCTACAACTGTACAACAACTCACCCTTATGTGACATAATACTCCCTACAACTGTACAACAACGCACCTTTATGTAACAGATAAATCTCCCTGCAACTATACAACTCACCCTTATGTAGCAGATAATACTCCCTACAACTGTACATTAACTCATCCTTATGTAACAGATAACACTCCCTACAACTTTACAACAACTCACCTTTATGTAACAGATAATACTCCCTACAACTTTACAACAACTCACCTTTATGTAACAGATAATACTCCCTACAACTGTACAACAACTCACCCTTATGTAACAGATAACCCTATGTCCTGTCAATCATAATATCATTGTTGCACTGCTTTCCTATGACCACTTGTATATAGTTGTTTTTTTTAATACTTATTTTCTATTTTATTTTGACTTGTACATTTACATTTATATAATTATGTCTTATTTGACATCTGTCGCTTGCTCTTTTTTGCTACTGATTTAGAATTTATTATTACCATTTATATTTTGTATTCTTTGTGTCTATATTATATTGTGATGTGCAAGTCCAAATAATTTCCCCTGTGGATCAATACAGTTTATCTAAGTCCAAGTTATTAAAGCTGCAAGATAAAGACAAATTTGAGTTAGTGCAGCCAATATTTACATGACATGATTCAATGTAGTAGTATATTTTAATATTCAAGTGTAATGGATAGATTTAATGGTCTATTATTATTATTATTATTATTATTATTATTATTATTATTATTATTATTATTATTATTATTATTATTATTATTATTATTATTATTTTAATTTTAATTTTTTTTTTACTTTATTTTGTTCATGGAAATGTAATGCACCTGAACAGTAGAGGACAGTCTAACCTAAAGCATGAACGCGTCTGCTCTCTACTCCACCACGAGAAAGACAGCCCCACTCTTACTAAAGTTTTTCTGACTTTTCCCCAATTTTCTGGGCTCAAATCCGTCTTTTTAAACGTTATAATCATAGCCATAACAGCTGACCTTGCACTGAGGGTGTACGCGCTGTTAAGCTGCAGAAAGACGCATGCAAAAGTCAGATCTGTGGAGGGGCTGCACGGGGCTGCTTTGTTTTGATCGGGGAAAAAGACACGCTTCCATCATCAAAGGTAGGTTTATTAGGCTTGATTATGCATTTATACGATTCTACCAACCACAAACTCACGCCGTTGTCATATTTTATCAGTTTAATTTAGATAACGCAGCCAAAATGTACTTTTAATGTTTTGATCGCTTATATTGTGACAAATCCAGCTCGTACCGTAGCACCTAGCAGCAACGTTAGCATCCACTTTCATTTGCACGTTTGATCGCTATTAACTTATTTTTACGTTATTATTCTAATGCAGTGTGTGTTAAAATTGTCCGTGAAGCTTTAGTTATGGTCTAAATAAGTCCCACATTTGCAAGAAAGTGCTAGCATTGGGTTAGCATCATGAAGCTAACTAGTAACATCAGGCTAACAGATTCACTAGGGAAAAAACAAAAAACGCTTATTTGCTCGTTGTGTGTTTCTGATTATTGCAGATGCATTGGAAACCAACGTATTTCGACAACAAAATAATCTTTAAAAGGATTATTGCATTGTTCAACGTCGATCTTACGTGATTAAAAAAAAAAAAAAAAAAAACTTAATATGGGAAGCTAATATAATATAATATAGTATCGTTAAATATATGCTAAATGTAAAAAAAAAAAATATATATATATATATATATATATATTATAATAATGAATACGAGTCCAGTGTTTTTATAAATTAATTATAAAGGCTATTAAATTCTAATTCCTGTCATGTGAGTTTGTGATCTGTAGGGGGCGTTGTTGTGCTGATGTTTGACTGAAATATGTGGAAGAAATGACAAAAAGGTGCATTTTGTAACTTTTCTGCGGGAGGGTATGCCACCTGCTGGTCTCCATGGTGATGTTATTGCATAGCAGCAGCGTCTCCATGGAAACAAGCAGGTGGCAGACCCTTTGCCAGAAGTTTATTTATTTATTTTTTTAACATAAGTTGGATAATAATTCATTGACAGTGTGAGGTTAAAACAAATAAATAGAAAGAAATAATAAAACAAAACAGGGCACATAAGATGAATTTAATTTTGCAAAGGTTGTTAGAGTTCGTATGTAAAAGACATTTTTCACAAATGGTCGCGCGCTGTAAGTTTGCGGAATCTGCGATTAAAGGTTTTCTACGGCAAAATGTGTGTGTAAATGTCTAGTGTTTTCTCCACCAGCTTCGTAAATCTGCCCCATCACCAAATCTTCAGCCAACAAGGTTCACAAAGGATAAACATCAAGGTGTCAAGGTAAGAAAGACAACAGCTTAAAGGAGAACAACGACAACGCATTAGTGAACTACTGAGCAAAACTAACGATATGGCCATGAATAAAACATAAGTAACTTGTTAACTCAGACTGATTCTACAAGTAAAATTGAAATCAATTTCATGATGTGGATATTAGCATAGATAGATTTGTGCAGTTCGAATGTGAGACATCTCTAGGACCATAACAGTAGTTTTGCTCAGTAGTTCACTAATGCATCGTCGTTGTTCTTAAAACTTTTGTCTTTTTTACCTTGATAGTTGAGGATCAATTCTTTATAGAAGAATGGTTATCCTTTGTCGACCTTGTTGGTTGAAGATTTGGTGATGGAGCAGCAGCCTTTGAGCTTTCGTTTTTCTTACTTGGCCAGTTAGATTTAAATAATAATAGACACTTTGCCGCCAGTGTCTTCAACACTCTCTGGCGATGGGATGAGCTGATTTATAACAACGAGGAGCCATGCGTTATGCAGTTTTAACGCATGTCGCAAAGTAGTGTTCTTACAGCTCCTTGGCACTCTCACGACAACCGAGTGTTTGGCTGCTTTTGTGCCTAGCTGACTCACGCTGAGCAAATTTTTAAACTTTTTGTTTTTTGAGCTCAGGTTTTAACATCCTGTCATGGGATTTTAACCAACTAAGAAGTGCAGCACGTGTGGTTCACAAGTTAACAAGACACAAGACACAAGTCACATGTTGGATTTTGTGAAATGAGCTGTTTGTTTTTCCTGTGTTCATGGAGACAATGCTATGGACATTTGAGTTGCTACAGGTTTTTTACATCATGTGTGGCAGAAAATGTGGCAGGCGATCTTCAAAGGAAACACTTTGAGGGAATAGATCATTTCATCACTAACCCAAACACCAAAGCAGATTACCTATTGTGTTCACCTGGCTCCCCCTGGAGGCCGGTTTTTCCTCTCCCCAAACTGCCCTGACACAGATCTGCAGACCCTCCCTGACCAGTCCTCCTGTTAAACTGCACTGAGACATTTGGCTGAGACACAAAGCCCTCTGAGACGCGCCGTGGAAATGTTGTATCTGTTTGTCTGTCTCACCTTTTAGTTAAAAATCAAACTCCCTAAACAGGATCATGAACGCTCGTATTGATCAGACTCCTGAAAATGTGCTGTTTAAATCAACTTTGTATTTTTTTCATGAGTTTTCAGACTTAAAAAGTTTTGGGCAGTGTCTGCATTGTGTCACCATGGTAACGATTGAACATTCAACCATAGAGTTTCATGTGGACCACTCGAACATATCAAAATACCCCTGTGAACACTGTATATTTTTGAGTCCACGTTCGTATTTGTAATGTTAGTGTAACCCGGCGGTGCTTTTTCTTGTTTCAAACTCTCTTCCTGGAGTCATTGTTTCGAAAGGTTAAGGGTTAAGCCTAAATATTATTGTCGCTATTAAAAGCTCAGGCCGGAAATGGTCCAAACTGAATTGCAGTAGTAGTCAATATTTTCGTAAGTGAAACGCTCCAGCCGTGTGTTATCACTAATTATGAAGCCGCAGTAAAACCGTTCCCAAGTTTCGAAACGGCATTGACATCTGCGGCTGGAGCGTGGTGGCGGCCGCATTGTTTTTCACCGGACTGATGATGATTGATGGCAGCTCTGACATTTCTATTAGAGGAAATATGACTGGCCAAATGGTGCTAATCCAGAACCGGGAGGTGCTTGGAAAAACTTGAGCCCCATTGTACTGAAGTAAAACCGGGTCTGTGGAAAAACGATCAAATAACACCGACACATCTGTTATAATTGTTAGTCACCCTCAACAGCTATTGTCAAAAGTACATCAGACTTTTCTCTGCAGTTGTCAGGGTGATAGTTTGGCCTGTTTTTCTGTTTGCAAATTTTTTAATGATAGTTGTAATAAAAAAAAATAAGTTAAGTTGAAAATTTCAGGAAGTAGCGCTGAGGTCTAAAAAGGAATACGTCTATAAGGCTGTCGTGATAACACATTTTGAAGCAAGATATATTGCTACAAAGAAATACTGCTATCAATTATAACACTGAAACTGTTTTATACCGCTGACAGAATAACAATAGAGCTGGGAAATTCCAGTAAACCATTTTTAAATAAATAGACAGTATCATTAAAAGGCATGAACTGCAACAAATAAATAGTAGAATGAACCGATAATTAGTTCTGCAGCTCAAATCTGACTGTACTACAACAAGAATAACAAAATTTTCTAATTCTAATTCATGGAAAATGTACATATGATAATTATTAAGCCTCTAAATATATTGTTCCAGTTTTCATATTGAACATTAAGTTGATTTAGTAATTATTGTCTCAGGCCTAAGTGCCGTAAAAAAAATCTGATTGTGGCTGAGCTGATTATGAAACTTTTTTGTTTTTTTTAACTCAGTTTTTATCATCCTGTCATGGGATTTTAACCAACTAAGAAGTGCAGCACGTGCAGTTGAAAGGACACAAGTAAGGGACTGTTGGATTTTGTGAAATGAGCTGTTTTTTTCCCTGTATCATGAATGGAGACTGTACAAGAGTCTAGTGAAGGAGCTGGCTATGGACAGTTGAGTTGAGTTTTTTTTTTTTTTTTTTTACACCATATGTGGCAGCAAATGTAGCAGAAGATCTTTAGAGGAAAAACTTTGAGAGAATGGACCATTTCATCACCAACCATAACACCAGAGTGGAGTAAGAACATGGCCTTTCCTGTTGTGTTCACCTGGCGCCCCCTGGAGGCTGCTGTGGTGCTGCAGAACACAGAGGAGGGACACTTCTGGCTCTTACTCTCCTCAAACTGTCCTGACATAGATCTACAGACCTTTCCTGTCCAGTCCTCCTGTTAAACTGACCTGAGACACAAAGGTCACTGAGATATGTGGTGAAAATGTTGCAACATTAACTGCAACAGTTTGATGCAGAAAAAACTGAAAACTTGAATTTCCCTCGGGTTTCTTAAAGTATCTGTCTGCTTGCTTATCTGTCATTCCATATTCATCAATATTACCTGTATCAAAATTATAACTTGATGATAGTATATCTGCTACAGTTCTGGACTTGCCGTATTTTGCGCACTATAAGGCGGTCTGGATTATAAGGTGCACTGTCATTGAATGGTCTATTTTCAAACTTTTTTCACATATAAACCGCACCAGACTATAAGGCGCATTAAACTAAACACAACAGTTAGATAAGTCAGTTAAACTTTATTTAACGTGTTCACAATAACTCTCAACTTTGTTCAATTGTAACGCATAAAAAAATACTGTCTGAAATGCTAAATTGTTCGCGTATTCACAATAACTCATAATTGTTCAAACAGTTGGGCGATTACGGCGTCCAGCACATCCACATCCCTCTCGTCATTATCCGAGTCAGTGTTGTTACTTTTACCTGGCAGTTCAGTGATGATTCGGGTCTTGGTGAAAGCTCGGACCACAGTTGATACTGATCCTTAACCCAGGCGTCCACGATCCGTTGGCAGATCACTCGTAAGTCGCTCGGCGCTGTCTCTCTGTCTTGGTGAATGTGTGTTCTCCTTCTCTCATCCACTGCTCCCACGCAGCTCGCACTTTCACTTTATAACAGCCTTGAGATTAAAGTCGGTGTTGTAAGCGTGTCTCTTGACAGGTGCATTTTGATATTAAAAGGAATCATAGTATGTATTACTCCACGATGCTCCTGACTAAGGGAGCCGTAATGCTGCAAGTGGTGCAGCTTAGTTTACTTAAGTCATACTAAGACACCCCAATAAATTCATATATAAGATTATAATCATGGATTATAAGGCGCGCAGTCGTTTCTTGATGAAATGAAAGGCTTTTAAGTGCCCCCTATAGTGCGGAAAATACAGTAGTTTATACATTTTCTGCCCATTTTAAACCTCAAAAAATGTCAAATAGACAAAGCTAAGTAAATTTTTTTCTTCCTGAATCTTAAATAGAATTGCTTTTACAGTATACAGTTAAATCAGACCATTTCTAACAGTATCAGTGCACACAATTCGGCACACTACATAAGTTTGTGGAAGTTATTTTACAGTTTCTAATAGGATCTGTCCTTCTTTGTTGTTACAGTTTTTGAAGTTTGTCACCATGGATGAGCAGACGGCCTCTCCCGGGACCAACGCCGAGAACAACTCTCAAAGAAACGGAGACGAGGTGAGACAGCCGCACGAGCTCCAAAATATCACACGACACATTTTTCACTTTTTCCACTTTTCAACCCCGTCCCAGCAGAGCAAAAACCCACAGAACTGTTTCCTAAAATGTCAAAACGCATGCATGTTTCAGAAGCCCAGGCGCAGCTGGACCAAGGGGAGGAAGAGGAAGAAGCCGATGAAGGACAGTAACGCCCCCAAAGCTCCTCTGACCGGGTACGTGCGCTTCATGAATGACCGGCGGGAGCAGCTCCGAGCCGAGAGACCAGACGTCCCCTTCCCAGAGATCACTCGGATGTTAGGCAACGAGTGGAGCAAGCTGCCACCAGACGAGAAGCAGGTCGGTCTAACGTAACAGATTATAGGATGTGGATATTAATGTTGAAAGGTTCTATTTTACACAAAAATTGACTTTTGTGATATTTAAGCCATGTTATAATGAGCACGTTTACATGATGTTTGTTAATTCCGATTTAATTGTTTTGAAATAAATAGTTCAGAATAGTTCCAGTTTACATGGAAATAATACTTTTGAATTGAGGTTTACATGGAAAAACGTTAAATCGTCTTTATTTAATTCTGCTCCGCGTCTGGGGGTGGGGAAGGGTTCTGATTGGACAGAGACACCAACGCATTCCCGCCGACCAGAAGAAAACACACACTTCAGCTGCTACCGGATTTTCTGTCATCTCGGTTTGTCGTTACGCCACGGACACAAACATGAGACAAACTTCTTTCTCAGCCGTTCCGATGGTAATTTCGCAGCAGCTGGAGAATTCTCTCATCACGCTTTACGTCTGTCAGCTGAGGAGGAGAAGGGAAGAGTGTCGGAGAAGGGAGGAAGAAGACAAACTGAGTCAACGGCTGCTCTACCTCAGCCCACTCCCACATCCCGCTCACAAATCCAAAGAGACGTGGATCAAAGTCTGAATCCAGGACTAGTGGAGCTGTATCGGTCTGGATCGTGCCAGAAGGGCGACTCAACAAGCACGCACTGAACAGCTGGAATTATTTTATAAGAGTAAACGCTTACGTGATCGAGGAATACATTAATTCTGCTTTAAAATCTGAATAAATCACCCACTTACTTCGGAATTAAGTTTAATTCCAAATAATAATTTTCATTAAGAATTGTGTTTACATGGTCTTTTTAAAGCAATATTAATTTATATTCAGAATACAGTTATTTTTATTCGGAATTAAAGCTCATGTAAACGTGGCAGATGCTGTTACCTCCTCAAAAGTATATCCGTTTTGTTTTGTTTTCATTCACACATGTTTGAGTAACTTATTATTAGTCTGCCTACATCTCCAAAGCTCAAAATGCTTTGTTCCACCTTGTGATGTCATGATGTGGTAGTTTTCAAGTTAACAGCTCCTTTTACGTTTAGTTTAGTAGAGATTGGAAATTCCAGGGCTCCATCCTGTATTACCACATGACATCACAAGGTGGAACAGAGTGTGTTGAGAAGAACGCAGCCTAAATATGCAGGGTTTGTGTATTTAACATGTGTGAATGAAACAAAACAAAACTTTTGATGAAGAAACTACATTATTAACATAGTGTAAACACAAGCTGAAATTCAAACAACTTTATTTATCCTTTCAGAGAGAAATTACTTGAGCAGCTTTAATACAACAATCACACAACTAAAGCATGGCGGAGCTCATTCAAAAATATCTTCAGCTACAGATTCAGGGTAGCCACGGGGTCTTAAATGTCTTAAAAAGGTCTTAAATTTCATGTTCCAAAATTGAGGCCTTAGAAAGTCTTAAATTATGTTGTGCAAGTCTTAATTTTTTCACAAAGATCTTAAATCTCATTAACCTATATTTTTGTAAACTCAACCGGGCTGCAGTGTGATGTTAAATGGAGGGAGGAAAAAAAACAACGTGAAGCTGAAGTTTGCCTTATAAAAGTGCAAAAATGCATCTGTATTTGTCAAGATGTGCGTTTGGTAAATGTGCACAGGCTAAATCCCACTGCAAAACCAGTGAAGAGAATGAAAAAGAATGAAAATGAGAATGAAAAAAGAACAGCTTTAAAATCCTACACACTTTCTTCACTTTTTTCACAGTTTTCTGTAAAGTGCCAGGGGAAGTTCTCTTAAAGAAGAGATTCTCAAACTGTGGGTGAGGGTCCAAAAAAGAGGCGCAGAGTGTTTCAGTGCGCCACCATTTGCTTGGCTTTGGATCTGGTGTTTTTTGCCCACATAATTCGTGAGATGTTGGTCTTAATTTTCATTTAACTGGTCTTAAAAAGGTCCTAAAAAACAGCTTAAATTTGAGGTAGTCAAACCTGGGGAGATCCTGAGATTGTATTTTGTCATTGTTCACAATATTGAAATCTGTGTTCTTAATGTAATTCTTGTATCTTGACGAGAGTGTGAGCTGTTTTAAAACCTTATCATTTGTGTGTTCTTTTTACAGAGATACTTGGATGAAGCAGAGAAGGACAAAGAGCGTTACATGAGAGAACTGGAGAAATATCAAAAGACTGAGGCCTACAAACATTTCACCAGGAAAGTCCAGGAGAAACAGAAGGGCAAGAGACACAGAGGTCAGCACTGCAGTACACTGAACCGCTACTGTTATTTAAAGATGCATCATGTAACTTTTCTGGTGTAGGGTCTAGCGTTGCCTGGGAGGTTTCACAGTATGGCTTTAAACCTAGCTATCTTGCATTTATTAAATTACAGGTGTTTTTGTGGTTAAAAATTACAGGTGTTTTTGTGGTTAAAAAACAAATCATCTCTACTCAAATCTTACCGTATTTTCCGCACTATTAGGCACTCTGGATTATCATAGAATGGTCTATTTTTGAACTTTTTTCACAAATAAACCGCACTGGACTTTAAAGGAAACACAACAGTTGGATGGGTCAGTGGGACTTTGTTTGGTTGGGAATTCTCTCAACTGGACAAAAGTTTTTGAGTGAATATTTTTTTGCTCATCCAAGTTGTTTTTCAGTTCTGGTCAGACGCTGGTGGACACTTCCTTATATCTTCAGAAGGGAGGAGCTAACTACACTGAAACTCCTCTGAAACTAACACTCTGTTGAACTGCACTAAGTGGTGTGTTAGTTTCAGAGTAGTTACAGTGTAGTTAGCTCCTCCCTGCAGACAGATATAAAGCAGCGTCCACCAACATCTGACCAGAACTGAAGAAGCAGCTTGGATGAGCAAAGAAACGTATTCACTCAAAAACTTGTCCAGCTGACAGAGTTGAATTTCTCCTTTGCCTTGAATCTTATCTGGACGACTGAGGCCTCACACGAACAGTCAGTGGCATACACAGAAAAGTTCCATGGTGCATCTTTAAGCACGTGGCAGAACAAGGATAACTTTGGTACAAACTTCTTTTTTTTCTTTTCCAGAAGTTGGACACCAGGCACCTAACGAGACTCTTCATGAGGTTTGTCATTCTTCAGTTACAATAACTTAAATATCCAATAATCTCCAATAATGTACATGTTTTTTTTACATTTTACTCCTGATTTGATACAATTGATACTTTGCATTGATGTCACGCTGGGGGGTTCTACATATGTCTTACTGGTGGAATGAATTCAGCAGTTGCCATGGTGACACAATGCACTTAATGTCAATGTTTTAAAGTCATCTGAAAAACTCAACAAAAAATACAAAACAGTTGTAAACAGCACATTTTCAGGAGGCTGTGATCAATACAACCGTTAATGGTCCTATTTAAGTGTTTTCAAAAAGGTGAGAGTGATTAACTGAAAAACTGTTGCTAATGCTAGCTCGCTTGCTCTAAACAGGACCATGAACGCTCGTGTTGCTCACAGGCTTCAGAATCTGTGTTGTTTAAATCCATTTTATGTGTTTTTTTGTTTGTTTTTTTCCTGAGTTTTCAGATCATCTTAAAACCTTTTTGTCTGTGTTTTCTCATGTGTGCTTTGTGTCACCATTAGGTCTGTCGCGGTTAGGGAATTTCTCCTGTGGTGCGGTATAGCAGCTCAACAGCGCGGTATGCCCCTCCTCCACCCCACATCCCTTGGAGTTACAGTATTTCCAGCGGCACTGAAAACTCTCTCCGATGATGCGCTTGTTGCAGATGCACATGTACCTTGGTTGTCATGTGAATATAGTGTGTGTAGAGTGGGAGACGTAACATTTGGCTTTGGAACAAGCACTGCTGCATCTCTTCAGCTCTCACTGTGGCAGCTCGGGTCAGAGTCCTGCACCAGCTCGCACTTTCACTTTATAACAGCCTTGAGTTTAAAGTGGGCGTTGTAAGCGTGTCTCTGGACAGGTACATTTTGATATTAAAAGGAATCACAGTATGTATTTCTCCGCGATGCTCCTGACTACGGGAGCCGTAATGCTGCAAGTGGAGCGGCTTTGCAGTTTACTAAAGTCGTACTAAGACACCCCAATAAATTCATATATAAGGCGCTCTGGATTATAAGGCGTGCAGTAGGGGTGGGCAATATCTCGATATTTTAAATATATCGAGATAGTTTTTAAACTCGATATGAATTCTGACATATCGTATTTATCGATATAATGCTTATATTCAATTTTGATTTCGCCGCTTCGCTTGTTTACCTTCTCTCTCGTCGCCCCCGCCTCCCTGATTTTGTTCGCTCATGTCTCCTTCACTCCTCACTACCGCCGTGAATGCCAAAAGTTGGTGCCAGTGAAAAGCTTCAAGCACCTTTTCTTTTTCAAGAACCTTTTCCACCATTTACAGACAAGGCCACCAGCAGCACATCCTCATATTCCACCGAGTCGCGTCCTTTAGTCCAAAAGAAGCTAAACGAGCTGAGCTGCATGAGAAGTGCGCTGTTTATGCAAATGAGCCATGCGCTTAAGTTTCGTTTCTGTAAAATGTAAACACACATGCGCAAAACTGCATTAAACACATTATTATCTCAAACTGGCTGATGTGGCTCCAGAGTCGTTATGCTTTATATATTGTAAAGTTTAGTAATGTAAAGTTTATTTATGCAGAAGATTTTAATTAATAATCTGCTGCAGTGTCACTTGTACAATAGTGTTTGGAAACATTGGGTTTGATCTGCAGTGGATTGTGGGAAACCTCAGAGCTCCTTACTGCTGGATAGGAACATGGATCTATTAAAATAAGGAACCTCCTGAGCTTCCTCTACTAAAGGAGCTCATGGTTATGGTTCTGGTTTGGATAACAGAGTTAATGCAAAGATGAGCTTGTGTTGAGTTGTTTTATTTGTGAATGAAAAGAAGGAAATATTTATTATTTCTTTTATTTTACAGTTTTATTTATGTAATTAGGGTTTTTTGTAATCTTAAATGTTCCTATATGAACTGCCGACCTCTTACACTTCATTTAAAAAAAAAAGACTTGGAATTTGGCATATTTGTTTTTGCAGTTTTCACTTTTAAGGGGTTATTTTTTCTTGAACATATATCGAGATATGTATCGTATATCGAGATGTAGCAAAATATATCGAGATATATTTTTGATCCATATCGCCCAGCCCTAGCGTGCAGTTGTTTTTTGATGAAATTAAAGGCTTTTAAGTGCGCCCTATAGTGCGAAAAATACGGTACCAAAATTAATGGCTTGCAAAATGATGTTAGATTTTTTGGGACACCCTGTATATTTGTCTTACCTTTTTACACCCCCTCTCGTGCACAAATATTGGCCTGATACTAAAGCTGTTAATCTTTGTTGTCTTTATTGATACATAATTCACTTTTAATCACACTTTGAGCAATAACCTTGGACTTTCCTTGTGCGTGACTCTGCCTGCTCTAGTTTACAGCCAGGGTGACTGCCGCTTTAAAGTGCCAATGCTTTCCCTTTAAGCTCCGTGCCAATGGATCCGTCTGCCTAAATTTCATTACCACAAGAAATGAGAACAGATGATGGTTTCTTCACAGGAGGCAATATACAAGCGCGCGCCCACCCAAGCCTCTGTTGTACCCATATTTTACAGCTAATACATAGTGAGCCATTGCGTTGGCTTCTCTGATATCAGGGCTGAGCAGCAGATGAAATTAGCCTGCTGCCTGCTCATTTTTAAAACTGTATCTGGATTTCCCCTTGGGCAGGTATAAAATCAATTACCCGCCCACCAACGCAGAGAGATGGATGACCGCACGCACTGTCACTCAGGCTCTCTGGTTCAATGTTTCTTCATCGTTTATTCTCAACACACAATCATATTTGGCAGCACTTTATAATAATAACTTCATTTTTAATAACCTTTATAAAATATGCAGCTTTGTGACTACTTAATTAATGACCTAACTTTGTAATTAAATGTGAATTATGCGACTTTTCTGGTGTTCATAACATTTTATAGGCAAATGTATTTTTAACAACTTCCACATTTATACTGAACATGAAAATAGTCACAACACACAGGAGGCAGATGGTGAACTGTGGCACTCGGAGGGTCTATAAGAGTTGCAAAGTGTGTTATTGCTCATGTAGTGAATCACTGTACCTGACAATTTACTATGGAAATATACTTGGTGTTTTGTCATGATCACGTTTGTTTATGGTTTTATTTTGTTTGAACAGAAGGACATTGAGGGGAAGGACAGGACTGTGTTTGACATCCCAATCTTCACAGAGGAGTTCCTCAACCACAGCAAAGGTAAAAGTGCTTTTTTTTTTTTAAATCCTGCGTCAGGCTGAGGGCTTTCAAACTGCATTTTATTCATTGCAAACCACATTATTGATCTGAAACAGCTTGTTAATAGAAACAGGATGTATTGAGGAAGAAAAGAGCAGTGGACAGAGTGAGGTTAGGTGAGAACAGAAATTTGATGAGCTCTGAAGTTATTTGATTTTAACAGATGACAGATGTGAAACCTGTCCTCTCACCTGGCCTTTGTTCAGACTCACCTGTGCGCTCTGCTTTTTTTCTGTCAGGACAAAGCTGGACTCTGTCAGACTGCAGGTACATAGAGTGTATATACATGTACATCAGTATCCCGGTCATGATCGGGTTTTTTGAGTATCCCGGTTTCGTCATGGTGCATGTAAACGCAGTATCCCAGTTTCAGTATCCCGGTTATGAGAAATTAGGTTACTGTAGCTGGTATATTCCTATAGTAACCGGGATACTGTGGCATGTATACGCAGTATCCCGAGTACTGCAACATAAAATTGAGTGCACATGCGTCCAAAAGCCAAACACTTTCCAGTCTTTTCATCACAACAGTAGTGACATAAATAAAGTGACCAGCATGAATAAATTGACCAACATAAATAAAGTGACCAACATAAATAAAGTGACCAACATGAGTGAAATGACTAAAATAAAGAGCTGCGCTAAACCTGCACACGTATAATCTGCAAATGTACAATCTGCACTCGTACGACCTGTACACGTTTGATCACTAAAAAGTTAAACATGAAACATCTCCTACAATATACACAGAACACTCACCATTATTAACACCTCTGTCACAGAAAAAACACATATAATCCACTGAGGCGTGTCCTTTAGTCTGACAGAAGCTGAACCGCATCAAGGTACAAGGAGCGAGCTGTTTTTATCTGCGTTTATGTAAATGAGCCATGACGTTTTAAGTTTTGTTTCTGTAAAACGTAAACAAATATGGCAAAGCTGAATTCGATTATCAAACGGGCTGATGTGATTATGGTTTATATGTTGTAAAGTTGAGTTTATTTATGCAGAAGATTTTAATAAAAAATCTGCTGCAGTGTTCGGTTTGATCTGCGCAGTGGATTGTGGGATACCTCATAGCTCCATACCACTGGTTAGAACTTCACGAGCTTCCTATGCTAAAGGAGCTCATAGTTTGTATTTTTCCTGGTTTATTAAATTAAATAAAGTAAAATTTTGTGCTTGCGTATTTGTAAGATTAAACGGGGATCTGAGTATCCCAGTTTCTCAGCGCGCATGTAAACGCAGTATCTTGAATACTGACATAACCGGAATATGGCGAATAACCGGGATACTGATGTGCATGTATACACACTCATAGATAGCACCTTGTGGTGACTTGTGAGAATAAAATGATCGGGTCGGCCTGTCTAATTACAAATTTGGAAAGGGAGAGTTTAGAATTTTGGACATAGGGCCTCATTTTCTAGTTAACCAGAGTGTTGGAGACGTGTGGAGACACTTTTTGAAATATTCCATCCAGTCCTTGTATTTGCAGAGGTTGCTGATGATAGACTAGTGCATGTCAGTGGCCATAGTTATCCTGCCACTAAAAACACTTACCCACTCCACAAAACACCTGAAGCAAATCTATTATTACACCAGACTGTCAATGTGAATGTCTGTGTTGATAGAATAATGTCTGAAATAAAACTAACCTTGCATCGCATGAATCGTCACATGTTGAGGGACTGTGTTCTCATATATCAGTCCGCCGCTGCCAAGTTCAGGAAGTACAACTCGCTGCTGCTGCTCAGACATAAATCCTTCAAATGCAAGGTGGTTTTACTTCTAAAATTATTCTATCAACACAGACATTCACATGGACAGTCTGGTGTAATAATAGATTTGTTTCGGGTGTTTTGTGGAGTGGGTAAGACTGTTTTTAGTGGCAGGATAACTATGGCCATTGACATGCACTAGCCTAGCACCAGCGACCTGCAAATACAAGGACTGGATGGATTATTTTAAAAAGTGTCTCCAACAGGCTAGCTCACTAGAAAAAGAGGTCCTATGTCCAAAATTCTGGACTGTCCCTTTAAGCATCAAATGCAAGGCAATACAGGATTACTCACACATGGATAAATCAAGCAAAAGTCAACTCTGAAAAAGATCATGATGAGGGATCTCCTTTAAAACATGGTGAAAAGTTCTTTAAAGTAGATTTTACATAACATGTCTCCATTTCTTCTTGTGCACAGCCCGGGAGGCTGAGTTGCGGCAGCTGCGTAAGACCAACATGGAGTACGAGGAGCGTAACGCTGCGCTGCAGAAGCACGTGGAGAGCATGAGGGGCGCTGTGGAGCGACTGGAGGGAGACGTGATGCAGGAGAGAGGAAGAAACAGCCTTCTACAGCAGCATCTGGAGACGCTGAGACAGGCGCTCACGTCCAGCTTCTCATCAGTGCCACTGCCAGGTCAGGAGGGGCATTACAAGTCCTCATAAACTGTCATAACATCACTCACTCGTGCAGTAGACCAAAAGAAACAATCTAACACAATTGACATACCTGATTATCAACCCAAAACATGCACAACAGGTAAAGGTCCTCCAGCTACGGTAGGCATGACTAACTCAAGATCTGGACCTGATTTTTACGGTCTTAAAAACATGAAAAACTGAACAGTTAGCGGTTCACTTACAGTATGCATTCCAACCATCCGAATTATCCACAGCGATGAGTTTATAATCACTTTTCACAACTCTCAGAGACCAGAACAGAGTTTACTGTGTTGGTACAGTATCAGTTAGCATGCTAGAAGAGCACTTCCTGATTATCGGACAATAAAACACTTCATAATTAGATCCAGACATGCAGATGCAGATTTTTTGTCTAAATGCTTTTTTTTTTTGTCTTAATGCTGCACAGATACATTTGCGTCCATTCTTATCAATGTACAAAAATCTATATCTCTTTTGGCTTTTCTTTGCCTAAACCAGTAGTACCATCACACACAGATAGTTTCGAATGGTTTGAGTTTTACACATAGTTTGGAAAAACAATACGTCCACAACCAAAACCTGCACACTGCCCACACCCTAAACCCATGTGTTTGTGACTTTCAGGAAGTGGAGAGACCCCCACTCTCGACACCATCGACGTGTACATGAAGAAGCTGCACAGCATCATCCTGAGCAGCCCCCAGGAGCACGAGCACCTCATCGGCACCGTGAGGGACGTGGTCAACCGCCTGGACAGGTCAGTACGGCCACAGAGTCTAATAAACTAAACAATAAACCAAACATCTCCCACTGTGTTTAAAGTCTTTCAGCAAGGTTCACGTGTGGATACTACGGGGCAGACATTTACAAAAGGCAACTATTTTGATTCAATTTTGAAAAGACTTTACAGAGATGAAAGAATGCCCATAGCTGTCCCAGCCACCTCAAAAGAACAATATTAAAGAGAATTCAATCAGAAATATCTATAATAGCCAAACTTTTTCAGATTAAAAACAGTAATAGGTTTGACTTGTCGAAGAAAACGGTTGAAATGGTACAATGATTTTTGTTAGCACCAGGAGTACCTGATTTTCAGACCATGAAAGGACAAAGTATGTATTTAAATCTATGCACTTGCCACTAGCTCTCACAGACCCTTTGGCACATCGCTAGTAGATTATATAAAGAAGTGGACTAAGGGATTATGATGTGACACTTTTATTGTTTGTCTCCAGTCAAATGAAGCTAGGAGAGGATATGGAACGTATTTGGAATTCCAACCACAAGTAGCGTAGCCAATCAGGAGAAAGGCTGTTGAAGGTAACACTGCTCTGGTTTATAGCAGAAAGCAGGCACTTACCCACACTGTCAATCAAACCTGCTGCTAACTAACAGGACCAACTTCAGCAAAAGAGGGCAGCTCATTGGTCTTTTACTAATGTTCATATCTTGATTTATGGACAAAATGGCAAAATTAACACCCCAGGATCATGTAGAGCGGGTTAAATGAACATTTGAAGATCAAAATGATGAGGCTCACAGCAGCAGTTACAGAGAGACGGGCGACAGGTTTTCAATACTAAGTGAATTGGAGCCAGAATCACTTCCAATACATGCACCACGAATTTCTGACTTCCGGTCATCTCGCAATGCATACTGGGAAGGATTTTCAAAAAAATGTAGCATCAAACCGCCATGTTTGTTTTCCCAGTGGGATGTGTCTATTGACAAAGTCGATCTTTTCTAGTCTTTTGAACCATATCACTTTTGTTTCTGGTTCTGATATTGTCATATTTTAGTTTTGGGATTTGGACATCGTAATTGTGTGGTTGTTGGATCCTAACAGCGGAAAACAGCTCGAGAAATTTGTTTACGAACTCCATAACTGCAAAAGGGAATCAGATGTGTGTGACTGCAAACCTCCGTTTAAACTGTTTCCCTTTCCAACGGAAATCTTTGACTGCCTAAATCATCTCAAGTTTGCAGTGAACATTTTGTATGTGGAGCGCCATTAAAGCAAAATCCCGATCCCTCGCTCCACCTTGGTTACGAATTTAAAAAGTCAACGCCAAAGCGAAAGGCACCAGCTGTTCACTAAGAAACACTTTCCACGACAAAGTGACCAAGACGTGATGTTGCTGTAAAACCACAAGAACAAGAAGTGCGAGCTCAGTCTGTTTGTCTTCTCCGACTGCTCCTCTCGCTTAACAAACGGGATCTCACTTTGATGGCGCTCCACATACAAAATGTTCGCTGAAAACTCAAGATGATTTAGGCAGTTAAAGGTTTCCTTTTTGGTCCTTCCTGTGGATCAATACTGCCCATCACCTTCACTTTTAACTATTTTTCAATTCCGTTGGGAAGGGAAACAGTTTGAACAGAGGTTTGCAGTCACACACATCTGATTCCCTTTAGCAGTTATGAAGTTCACAAACAAATTTCTCGAGCTGTTTTCCGCTGTTAGGATCCAACAACCACACAATTATGATGTCCAAATCCCAAAACTAAAATATGACAATATCAGAACCAGAAACAAAAGTGATATGGTTCAAAAGACTAGAAAAGACTGGCTTTGTCAATAGACACATCCCACTGGGAAAACAAATGTGGCTGTTTGATGCTCACTTTTTTGGAAAATCATTCCCATTATGCATTGTGCAGTGACCGGACGTCCGAGATTCATGATGCATGTATTGAAAATAGCAGGCTGACTGTCTAGTTAAAGTCTATGATATTCACATGGATGAGTATTTGGGTAACTACAGAGCTGTAGAACAGATTTTTCAGAATGAGAACAGTAGACCACCATCACACAACCAATCAGCTGTCTTCCCACTGAGTCAAATAGTCCTTTTCTTTTTAGTTTGCAGGGATACAACATTTTGCAAGTGGCTCAAAGTACTGCATTTACAATATAAATCATGGAAGGGGAAAAAACCAAAAACATTTACTCATGAATTACAAGAATTAAGTCAGGCAAGATATGTCAGTATCCTCTTGTAAATATGGTATTTTCCACACTATAGGGTGCTCTGAATTATAAGGCAAACTGTCATTGAATGGTCTATTTTTGAACTTTTTTCACATATAAACTGCACCGGACTTTAAGGCACATTAAACAAAACACAACAGTTAGATAAGTCAGTCAAACTTTATTTAATGCGTTCACAATAACTCTCAACTTGGTTCAATTGTAATGTAACGCTAAATTGTTAAGAGTATTCACAATAAGTCATAATTGTTCAAACAGTTGGGCGATTCCAGCGTCCAACGCGTCCGCATCCCTCTCGTCATTATCCAAGTCAGTGTTGTTACTGTTCCCTGGCAGTTCAGTGATGATTCTGGTCTTGGTGAAAGCTCGGACCACAGTTGATACTGATCCTTAGCCCAGGCGTCCACGATCCGTTGGCAGATCGTGGCGTAAGTCGCTCGGCGCTGTCTCTCTGTCTTGGTGAATGTGTGTTCACCTTCTCTTCATCCACTGCTCCCACACAGCTCGCACTTTAAACTGAACACTGTTATAAAGTTAAAGTGGGCATTGTAAGCGTGTCTCTTGACAGGTGCATTTTGATATTAAAAGGAATCACAGTATGTATTACTCCGCGATGCTCCTGACTACGGGAGCCATAATGCTGCAAGTGGTGCGGCTTTGTAGTTTATTAAAGTCGCACGAAGACGAATAAATTCATATATAAGGCGCTCTGGATTATAAGCAGTCGTTTAAAAGGCTTTTCAAGTGCGCCCTATAGTGCAGAAAATATGGTAATTAGTAAATAGATTTATAGATAGATACTCTTTTACTTTGAATAATAGTTCGAGATGTCTTGATTTTGTTTTACCATTCCATTTCTTGTTTCTGCAGATAATTCTACACTACCTGGTGAAGACTGGGATCCAAAACTTTCACAACGTGCTGATTCGTTCCTTCCACCACGTTCCACCACGTTCGTTCCACCATCATCTCAGTCGTTCCTGTCTTTTATTGTCTCGAGTAGATGAAGGTGATTTTGCATTTCCTATTTATTTTTTACTGTTTGAAGCTGTTTGCTGTTGTTGTACCTAAATACTGAAATGCATAGAAAGGCCAGCCCCGCGCTTCTGTTGCAGTCTTCTTGTTCCAAACGCCTTTATAACATTCTCTGAAATGTTACTGTGTCAAAACGTGCAGAAATCCTGTCGAAGTTTGTGTTCGCTCAGACAGACCTGTGCCATTCAGTCTCTGTGAATTCTGTGTTCAATAAAAACGTTTACACCTCTCTTGGTTTCCACAAGATTTACTTCTTCTCTTAAACAGAAAACACGCAGACAGGAAGTCTCCATACACCTTCACTAGAATCATTTGACTGATTTGAGCCCTGGAATTGCTCATCTTTACTGAACAAGAGGTAAAAGGAGCTGTTCACTTCAAAAATACCTTTTCGTGACATCACAAAGTGGAACAGAGCATTTTGAGCTTTGAAGATGTAGACCGACTAATAAACCAGAATTACAAGATGAAAGCACAAAAACAGACAAAGATGCAAATACAATTAATTATAATAAATAATTAAGCTAAAACCATTTAAAGAGCCCATCTCATGCAAAATAACTTTTTTCACATTGTATCTTCTGCACATAAACAAGCACAGTTTGGGTTTGGAACATCCATTACACAATAGTTCTGAAATCTTACTGATTTCTTGGACAGTCACAGACCAGGAACTATGAAAGACCGACTATTGCTCATCCTGAGAAAGCACAGGCTCCACCCTCCAAACGTGACGTAGGCTCTGAGTGAGCCACAATGGCTCACTCCACAATGGCTCGCAATGGCTTAATCCACAGTGGCTCTTAGATTCTAGATGTAGTACCGTAGTTGGTTGGTCATTATTAGAATTGGATCTGGTGTTTCCCCACATAAGGGGTAATGTTTTGTCTTAATTTTCATTTAAGTGGTCTTAAAAAGGTACTTTAAAAAGTTTGGGATATTCAAACAAATATTACTGATTCAATTGGATGTTGAAAAGAAAATGAAATGGGCTACATTCAATGTCCAAATAGGCGACTTATAGATCCTTTTATTGCTGCTTCAATGACTGTTTTTCATTGTTTCAAACTTGAGTAATACTAATTGTTCAGAGAGACACGATCACTCAGTCAATAAAGTCAATAAAATATCCTCATTAATGTGCAATAATGCTCAAATCCACCTTTATTTTGTGATTTATGAATAATGTCTTAACTTGGGTCACAAAGTTTTGTGACTTTTAAAATATGAGTCCCCAGAAACAAAAGTTTGGGAAACACTGATTTAAAAGATGATTCTGAAGGTGTGAGTCTTATCTCCTCAGGTAGGTCGATCCAAAGTCGAAGCGTCTGGACTGAAAAGACTCCCATCACCTTCGTCCGGAGCCTGGACTTTGGAACAGCCACAGGGACCTAGTCCAATGAGATTCATTTGGTCTTCCGATATTCCGAGGCTGCTCACTAGCGCTCTTCCTCAGAGTCACATGATGTTGCTGTGACGTGTCCGGTTAACTGATTTATACAGGTTTTGCATCTGCAGTCCGACTTCCTCAGGACAGTATTCCAGGTATGTGAGAGTGCAAAAGCCCCCACATCCCAGTTCATAGTCCCATGGACACGTTTCCGTATTTCGTTTGCCTTTTTAATCCAGCAGCGATGTTTGTTTTCTTCTGTCACAGTGATGTTTGCTCCGTTCCACTGCAGATGGCTCTGTCGTCCTGCCTCCACCGGTGGGAGGACAGCGCCAAAACCTGCATAAATCAGCTGACCGGACACGTCACAGCAACATCACGTGACTCTGAAGAAGATCGCTAGTAAGCAATCGAAACTGTCAGGTCTGAAAACAAACTCTCGGTCTGTATAAAGAACCTAATAACATAAAACAAAAGGGACCTGCCTGAGGATCTGCGGCTGCAGGAGGCTCGTACGGGTTTAGAAATTCTGAAATGTAACTTGGTGCGAGACCTAAATGAGCTTTAAAAGTGATCAGTAAAATCTTCAAATCGATTCTAAAACTCACAGGAGCCAGTGAAGAGAAGTAAAACAGGGTCATGTGTTGATGTCTGGAGTCGAGCTGCTGCTTCTGAATCAGTTGGAAGAGGGAGATGGATTTGGAGTCGACGCTGGAGAGGAGGGAGGTGTGATAGTCTCGACGAGAGAAGATGAGCACATGGACAACACAACTCTTGGTTTATTTATTTATTTATTTTTCCCATTAGTTTATTGGAAACAAAGGAACAAAATATATCGTACATTGACACAGCACGTCAATTATAGTCCCCATTCTCCTTTTCTAAAAGTAAACAAAGTCACTGTACATATATTATAGAAATTATCAAGCTTGAACAAAAAAAAAGCTTGGTAATATTAAAACTAATAATAACAAAATAAGCAAAATAATATATATGCATATATACATACATACACATGTACACATATATATAATCACACACACACATATATATATATATATAATATATATATATATATATATATATATATATAATATATATATATATACGCACATACATACACATACACGTTCAGAAATAAAAATACAATGGTTTCATCGAGTCATACTCAATTAAAATCTAAACGGGGCAACAAACATTCTCCAAGTTTTCCAGTAATTGTCAAATTTGTCAGAGTCAAGTCTCATTAAATATAATTTTTTCCATTACATAAATGGTATGAACAACATTTATCCAGTCCTCAATGCATGGAACTTCATCACTAAGCCATCTTTTTGTAATACACTTTTTTCCCAGCAGCCAGTAATATGTTATAAAGATATTTTTTCTTACGTTCTATAAGATGGGCAGGCTTTATCCCAAGGTACAATGTCTCAAAATTGTGTGGTAAAGTAAAAGAGAGAACTTTTTCAATACTGCTCCAAACCTGAGACCAGGAAAGTTCTGGGCATTCCCAAAATATGTGATAATGACCGGCGCTCCCTGTCCCACACTTTCTCCAACAGGACTGGTTTATTTTTGAGGAGGTTACAGCATCAAAACATGAAATAACATGGCTTAAAGCCCACAAAAATAATCCATTTTGTGTAATATAGGACCTTTCATGCCATACTTCAGAACACAATGCAATCCTATCTCCATGAAGACAAGACCCACTTTCTACCAGAAAAGTTCCACAGTGCATCTTTAAACTACAACAAGTTCCTCTCCCCCACCAGATGATGCCAAAACCCTACAGAAAACCGAACGCTGCATCCTCCTTCCTGTAGATAGAGTTACATAACCCGCTGTGTTTTATTGCCTCTTCCTCCAGGGATCAGAATGTTGTGCATCTCTCATTACTAATTAGTTTAATGAGCTGAGAAATGCTTTGATGCTCACCTAGACGGATGGATGGAGAGTCAAATTATACACCGCACAATGAATTTGCCATGTTAAATTAATGTACTTCAAATCAAAATACAATTGAATGAGCGAGAACACAATGTAGTTTTTAAAGTCTGCGTTAAAGCTTTAAATATTTATAAGAGTAATGTGTTTTTGTCAGAGTAAAACATGTCATTGTTAAAGGGTCCATATTACGCCATTTTCTGATTTATATATTTATGTATCAGTGTTGGGAGTAACAGATTACATGTACCAGAGTTATGTAATCAGAGTACAAATTATGAGTAACTGTATTCAGTTACAGTTACTGTTTCAGTGAGTGGTAATTGGATTACAGTTACTTTGTTGAAATAAATGGATTACATGGAGGTATTTTCCTGTTTTCACATTTTGGGCTATATCCCTTTTTTTTTTTTTGGGGTAATTCCACTCATTGCCGACACTAAACCAGGTCTAAACCAGGACTGAACCCAGATCTAAACCAGGTCTAAACTAGGAATAAAACCAGGGCTAAAACCAGGGTCTAAAACCAGGTCTAAACCAGGACTAAACCAGGTCTAAACCAGGACTAAACCCAGGTCTAAAACCAGGTCTAAACCAGGGCTAAACCAGGGCTAAAACCAGGTCTAAACCAGGACTAAACCAGGACTAAACAAAGTCTAAACCAGGGCTAAACCAGGGCTAAAACCAGGTCTAAACTAGATCTAAACCAGGTCTAAACTAAGATCTAAACCGAATACATCCATCCATCCATCCATTTTCGTCCGCTTTTATCCGGGGCCGGGTCACAGGGGCAGCAGTCTAAGCAGGGACTCCAGACTTCCTTCACCCTGGACACTTCCTCGAGCTCCTCCAGGGGGGACCCTGAGGTGTTTCCAGGCCACGCCCTAGGGAGGCACCCAAGAGGCATCTGGAACAGATGTCCGAGCCACCTCAGCTGCTCCTCTCGACGTGGAGGAGCAGCAGCTCTACTTTGAGCTCCTCACCCTATCTCTAAGGGAGCGCCCAGTCATCCTGCAAAGGAAACTCATTTTGACAGCTTGTATCTGTGATCTTGTCCTTTCGGTCATTACTCAGAGCTCATGACCACAGGTGAGGGGAGGAACTTTTGGGCAAAAAGCCTTGGTCAGATAATTTTTCTTGCTTTGGACCACAGTACACAAAATGGTTGCCAGCCCAGGTGCCAGTGTTGGGAAGGTGACTTTTAAGATGTATTCCCCTACAGATTACAGATTACACACCCCAAAATGTAGTTTGTAATGGAATCCATTAAGTTACTTAAGGTGAGTAATGTAATCTGAATACTTTGGATTACTTGATTTGCTGTAGAGAAACAAAGACGAGGAAATCTTCACATAAGTTTTGTCTGTTAAAAGACAATAAAAAGGCAGAGTCTTTACTTAACCATATTAAAAATATTATTGATAGAAGAGGAGGAGACATGGTCCTCGCAGCATGATTTAGTCCTGTTAAGTCCTGGTTTAGTCCTGTTAAGTCCTGGTTTAGTCCTGGTTTAGTCCTGGTTTAGTGTCCAGCACTGAGTGGAATTACCACGAGGGAAGAAAAAAAAAGGGGGGTATAGCCCAAAATGTGAAAACAGGAAAATACCGCCGTGTAATCCATTTATTTCAACAAAGTAACTGTAATCCAATTACCACTCACTGAAACAGTAACTGTAACTGAATACAGGTACTCATAATTTGTACTCTACATGTACCGGAGTTACATAATCAATCTGTTACTCCCCAACACTGCCAGGTGCTCATAACCCCAATGAACGGGAGGCCCCGAAGTGAGATCTACTCACTCTACAACAAGACAAACCTCTTTAAATGGAAGGAGGGGAAAAAAGCAACAATGTGAAATCACATAACATGAATGAACATCTAATGT